TGTGGGAGCCCCAGGTTCAAGCCCTGGCATCATATGGTCTCTTGAGCACTCCTGGGTGGGACCCAAAAAATAGAGAAACTCAGTCCTGAGGCCAGTTTTGTTTTTCCTGACTTGAAATGAAAAGCAGTGTGAAAAAGTAGTGTGAAGCAACAGAGCAAAACTTCCTTGCTCAGCAAGCACACAGAACCTGACTTCTTCCATGTTCCAGTCACTCAGAGCAGGAAGGGTTCTGTCTGCCCCTTTTCTTATTCTCTCAACAACTCTCCTGATTTCTCTTGCTGGTGCTGGCTCCAAGGGACTTGGAACCATGTCTCCTACCTTGGGGTCGCAGAGTAGTGCCTTCCCCTTTGATAGAACTTTCACCCTAACCCAATTCACACTTACACTCCTGCTTTCTCTGTTCTCTTTTGCCTCATACTACTATTTCCTCTTTTAATTTTTTTAAAATTTTGTTGTTTTGGGCGCCACTTCTCATATTGCTTAAGGGATACTCCTGGTTTGGTGCTTGGGTGTATGTGGTGGGGTTGGGGATGGGGCTGCTTTCATGGTACCAGTGTTGGAGGTTTTCTAGTGTTGGAGATAGAACAGGTCTCCTATGTACAAAGCACGTACTCCAGGCCACTGAGCTATCTCAGACCTCTGTAGCACTGTAGCGCTGTCCTCCCATTGTTCATCGTTTTGCTCAAGCAGGCACCAGTATCATCTCCATTATCAGACTTGTTGTTACTGTTTTTGGCATATTGAACATGCCAGAAGGAGCTTGCCAGGCTCTGCTGTGCGGGTGGAATACTCTCATTAGCTTGCCAGGCTCTCTGAGAGGGACAGAGGAATCAAACCCAGGTTGGCTACGTGGAAGACAAATGCCCTACCCACTGTGCTATCAATCTCAGACCTCAAACCTTATTTATTTAAAGTTACTTTTCTGAGGCAGCTCAAATAGAGAAGGGACCAACAAATAAAAGAAACTTGGAGGACATGCTCGGGATGGGAGATGCGTGCTGAAAGTAGACTATAGACCGAACATGATGGCCACTTAATACCTGCATTGCAGACCACAACACCCTAAAGGAGAGAGAAAGTAAAAGGGAATGTGCCTGCCACAGAGGCGGGGGGCAGGGATGGGGTGGGGTGGGAGTGGTAGGAGGGATACTGGGAACATTGGTGGTGGAGAATGGGCACTGGTGGAGGGATGGGTACTTAATAATTGTATGATTGAAACATAAGCACTATAGTTTGTAAGTCTGCAACTGTATCTCACAGTGACTCATTTAAAAATAAATTAAATAAAACACACACACACACACACAAGTTACTTTTCTGGTGTTTTTTTTTTCTTTTTGGGTCACACTCCACAATGCTCTGGGGTTACTCCTGGCCCTACACTCAGGAATTACTCCAAGTGGTCTTCAGGGGGCACCATATGAGATGTTGAGGATCAAATACAGTTTGGCTACACGTAAGGCAAATGCCTTGCCCGCTGTACTTTCACTGCGGCCCCTTTTCTGGGTTTTGGAGTCACTCCCATTGGTACTTGGGGGGGAACCATGTGGTGTGAGGGGTTGAGCCCTGCCTCCTGCATGTGAAGCATCTGCTCCAGCTCTTTGAGAGCACTCTCTGAGTCCAAGCAATGCCTGACGTAATAACTATTATATATTAGAATATATCACTGTCCTCCCATTGTTCATTGATTTGCTCGAGTGGGCCCAGTAACGTCTCCATTTTGAGACTGTGTTTGGCATATTGAATACGTCACGGGTAGCTTGCCAGGCTGCCATGCGGGAGAGATACTCTTGGTAGCTTGCCGGGCTCTCCGAGAGGGGAGGAGGATTAGAATATATATATAATATGTATATTATATATATATTAGAGTTAGGGCTAATATATATATTAGAGTTAGGACTAGGATATTGGGGTCAAACTCAGTGTTCAGTATTTGAATTATCTCCCTGGTACTCAGGTACACTTTTGTTTTTTTGAACCCAGACCTCATGCATGCAAAGTACATACTTTATTGTTAAACCATACCTCTCACCTCCAACTATGCTTTTATGAAAAAAAGGAAAGCTTTTTTTTTGTTTTTGTTTTTTGTTTGTTTTGGTTTGGGGTCACATCCAGTGGTGCTCAGGGCTTCCTCCTTGCTCTGCACTTAGGTGGGGCTTGCGGAACCAAACCCAGGTTGTTTGTATGTAAGGCAAGTGCCCTACCTGCTATACTATCTCTCCAGGAAGGCCACAGTTTTATTTTTATTATATTTTAGTAAAAAATGGAAAATCTCACTTATTCAATTACATAAATACTAAATGAAAGCCACAATTAAAAAAAAACTTTTTTACACATGATTTTCAGTAACACTGATTTCTGTGAATTTGAAAGAACCTGGGTGTCATCTTTAGAACCCTCATTATTTTCAGACAGTGTTAAATAGGTGGGGGGGGGGCAAATGCTTAAGGGTCCAACTGAAGAGATTCATAAGTATTTGGCAAAAGAATTTGGACTTTTTCTCAGTGGCCAGGAGGTTCAGCTAAGATGACTTGAGTGTGAGCAAGAGAAGGGAAGCAGTCTTTTAGTAAGATTAATTTGACATCTTTATACTAATGGATTTGAGTGGGGAAAAAATAGAAAAATGTGAAGATGAGGTAAGAAGCAACTGTGAGAATCTAGAAGAAGGTAAAGATAGCTCTAGGGGGCCCTAGAAAGAAGATGGATGCAAAGTTGATTGATGTGTAAGGAGAATCAGTTGAACTCACTGACTAAATAAAGTGGGAGCTGTGGAAAGGAGAGACCAAAAGTTATGCTCAGTTTCTAGAATATAATTGTCTGGAATAAGATAGCGCCACAGGTATGGATAATATGTAATATGGGTTATAAATGTGCTATGTTTCAGGCTATAACTAAGATATCCAACTAGAAATGTCTTGGACATGTTTAGAAATTCAAGACTAGTACTTAGTCATTTAATCTCAATATAGAAATTTGAGTTTTCTACTAAAGATTGAGGGCTGGGGCGATAGCACAGCAGGTAGGGTGTTTGCCTTGCATGTGGCCGACACGGTCAACCCAAGTTTGATTCCTCTGCCCTCTCAGAGAGCCCAGCAAGCTACTGAGAGTATCTCATCCGCATGGCAAAACCTGGTAAGCTACTCATGACGTATTCGATATGCAAAACACAGTAACAAGTCTCACTGTTACTGGGACAGCTCGAGCAAATCGATGAACAACGGGAGGACAGTGACAGTGACTAAAGGTTGAAATTATAATTCAATTTGAATCAGCTGGGGGCTCACTTGGTAATGCTCAGGGGTTACTCCTGGCTCTTCACTAAGGAATTACTTCTAGTGGTGCTCAGGGGACCATATGGGATGTTGTAGGTAGAACCTAGGCCATCTGCACGCAATGCAAACACGTACCCACTGTACTATTGCTCTGGCCCTAGTTGAAGGTTTTTTAATTCCAGGGATATGTCTTTGTGAAGAATAAATAATATTCCTTTAGCATTGCCAAGTTTGGCCTCATAACAAACAAATAGTCTGTGATGATACCTCTGAACATAAATATCTAGTGAGAGAAGAGAAGAGTTGAAGAGTTAAATTTGGGACTTAGCATAGCTCAGTTAGAGGTAAACCCTTCCTTCAGAGTGGGAAGTGGGAAAGAGAGCTCAGGGGAAAAAGAGAAAAACCAAGGTAGCATAGACTAATAAGGTCCCAAAGAGTAGGAAATGCCAAAAAGGAAATTGAGGAGAATGAACATGCAGTAGAGTCTAAGGAATATGACCCAGAGGAAATAATTAGTTTTCAAGTGGCCAACAGAGGGCAAATAATAAAAGTTATTTTCTACAATTAAATTCAAAAAATATGACTCTCACAAAATGTTTTCCCCTTATCATTCTCAAATTGAACAATACCACATGGTTTCTTTGAGGGATAAGAAAATGAAACAAAATTTGGAACACTGTTGGTTTTTTTTAAGGGGGGCAGGGGCATACCCAGCAGTACTCAGGGCTTAATCCTGGCTCTGAGTTCAGGGATCACTCCTGGTGGGTTTTGGGGACAGTGTGGGATTTCGGAGATTGAACCTGGGTTTGTCACAGGTAAGGCAAATGCCCTACCTATTCTACTATCTCTCTGGCCCTGGAACATTGTTGATTCCTAAGAAGGAATTGAAGAAAGGATTATCATTTCTCTGATCTGAAATGTTGCTATGGTAGAGTATAATTCAGTATATTTGGTATAACACTAGCAAATGGGAATAATTCAAAGAAGTTATTTCTCTATCATGACAAATTTTATTCAGCCCTATCATGCTAAACCTCAGTTGGACCAGGTCATGTTCTACCAATAGAATCTATTTCCTGATTGTTTGATTGGAGAGTGGGTTTCAAGTTTATCATTAGAAAAAAGTGTTTTTGTAATCTCTGAAAGTTTGCTAGATGGAAAGGAATGTTTTTCAGCTTGAACCCCAACTCCTCCTCTTCAAATAGTCCTAGAGCCACTACAGAGAGAGCAAATAAACTTGTAATAGCTAATCCCTTGGGTGGAAATACTTCAGGGTGGTTTGTTTTCAGAAGATGCTATATATATATATATATATATATATATATATATATATATATATATTTGCTTTTTGTGTCAAACCTGGCAATGCAGAGGGGTTACTTTTGACTTTACACTCAGGAATTACTTCTGATGGTGCTCAGGGAACCATATGGGATGCTGGGAATTGAACCCGGGTCGGCTGCGTGCAAGGCAAATGCCCTACCTGCTGTACTATTGTTCCAGCCCCCCAAATGCTATTTTTAAATATTCACCAGTTTCACCTCTAAATTTTAGCTATTTGTATGTCAGCTACACACAGTGTGATCTTCTCATTCCAAATGTCACTGAACTTTGAGTAGGATTGAACTCTAAGTTTTCTCCTAAATGAAAGCAGTCCTGGTGATCTTGAGAGAATGCCTTTCTTCCTTTTTCTACGAAGATTTTATTGTTGTGGAAATTTTATTACAGAAGCTGAAAAGGCAATCCACCAAGTACAAGACAGACAGAATCTTTCCCACCACAGTGGCTGAGAAGCCCAGGAATATCAAGAAAAACCGATATAAGGATATCTTGCCCTGTAAGTTTTATTTCTCCATGTTAACTTGTACCTGTACTATTGATCATGCCAAAGAAAATTCACTCATTTGTACATCAAACACCGATAAGTATCAACAGTGGTACTTTCTGAATTACAGAAAACTCAATAAATTCTCTTTATTTCTCTTTATCATCTATGTCTTTCTTTTTAATAATTGATTTTATTATTATATTTTGGTTTGGGAACTACACCTGGTGGTGTTCAGGACTCAGGTCCTGGCTCCGAGCTCAGGGATCACTCCTGGTGATGCTCAGGAAGATCAGGATTTGAAACCAGGTTGGCCACATGCAAGGCAGAAGTCCTACCTACTGAACATTTGCTCCAGTCCTCTATGTCTTTATTTTATATTCTAGATGATCATAGCCTGGTAGAGCTGTCACTGATAACCTCTGATGAAGATTCCAGCTACATCAATGCCAACTTCATTAAGGTACACTCCATAGTCCTTACTGTACTAGGTCTCTAAAAAGAGAAAGGAAATCACTGCAAGTCATTTTCTCTTTTCCTTTAGGGAGTTTATGGATCTAGGGCATATATTGCCACCCAGGGCCCTTTGCCTACAACTCTCCTAGACTTCTGGAGGATGATTTGGGAATATAGTGTCCTGGTAAGTGCAGAGCTATGATTGCTATATCCTCTAGGTTTTGTGTGTGTGTGTGGGGTGGGGAGGGTGGAATTATAATGGACAGAGTGAGTAGGAGTTCAGACAATGTGACTGAAGTTTCCTAAGGATTAAAATCAGTGCTTCTTTTGGTTTCCTGGCTAGAATTTCAATCTTCAGTCACCTTTGAAACAAAATTCAATGTTATTCTTGTTGAAGGAAATGAAAGTTCTCCTGACAACCTCATTTGTTAGTAAGAATTTGATGATTTGAATAGAGAAAAGGGAAGTGTGGACAGGAAGAAGGAACGTTGGGAGTAACATTTATCATTTACCAGGATTTGAAGGACAGATAAGGGACCAGGAGAGAACTCTAAGGCTTAGAAAGAATGTCTGGTGGGCGGAGCCCCCAGGTTTGAGGTCAGGGGATCCCTACAACTGCGGGCCTAAGAGGCACAGGCTGAGACCCTGAGAACCTCCGCACTTTCCTAAAAGGCCAGTGACACAGTTCAGGGCAGGGTGTGCTTTGTACATAGGAGGCTCTGGTTTGATTCCTGGTATAACACACACACACACACACACACACACACACACACGAAAAATCATTGTTTCTAGCCCTTGGGCTCCTGTAAATGCTGCTGCTGATTGTTAATACTATATGGATATCTAAGTTTCTATTTGTACCCCACAGATCATTGTAATGGCATGCATGGAATTTGAAATGGGGAAGGTGAGTTGCTTTACATAAAGGTAAAGGAAAGAAGAAAAAAAGTGGGACAAGAAGTCAGAGTAAACTTATCCTTAAGTGCACCTAGGGAAAAGTTATTTGCATCTTTCTGATTTTCAGTTTGGAGATATGAAACGACTCCCAAAGCTTTTTTTTTTTAACTCCAAAAGGATTTCTTTTCCTATGGATGACAAAGATAAGTAATACAGCTATTCATTTTCACATTTTTAAATTTTTTAATTTTTTATTTTATAAGGTATTTCACAGTATTTGATTACATTTAATATTCAAACACCAATCCCACAACAATTACACCTTCCCATCACCATATTTGGGATATTTCCATCCCAAGCCCCAATCCCTGTCCCAAAGCACAACTGAAATAATATATTTTGTATTGTTTGTTGTGAAAAATCGCTGAAAATGCTATAAAAATGTGTCCATAGGGGAAACAGTGTGAAGATTGTTCTATTTTGGCAGGGGCCATTTAGACATCCTTTAGGATATCACTAGCCTGTTGTTAAAAACTGTGAGCTTTTGTACATATATCAGAAAATATGTATATATGCATATATATATTTCCCTCTATGATTGGTTGTCTATTATTTGAACCCCATCAAATGTGGTGTAGTACTCTTGGAGAATGGGTAGGGAGCGTCTTATGATGTGTCGCGCGGCCACATTTGTCCAGGAATACATTCACTTGTGTGTGAGGCTCGGCTCGAGCATGTGGGGAGCAGCCTTGAACATGGCAGTGGTGGGGTTTTGGAGGTTTTTGATTGCCAGGGCTGGGTCCCTTAGGGTGGGACCCACCCCCCTCTGGGACATCCCAAGTTATTTTCACTTTTTTTTTTTTTTTTTTTGCTTTTTGGGTCACATCTGGCTATGCACAGAGGTTACTCCTGGCTCATGCACTCAGGAATTACTCTTAGCAGTGCTCAGGGGACCATATGGGATGCTGGGACCAAAAACCAGGTTCGCCGGTTACAAGGCAAATGCCCTACCCACTGTGCTATTGCTCCAGCCCCTCACATTTTTAAATCGTACATCTTTAATGGCTAATCTGAATTTCTAACTGTGCCTGTCCAATGGGGCAGTATCTTGTAGCCACTGACAGGCCAAGGTGACCAAGGAGCTCAGTGAGTTTATTCTACTCTAATTTATTCTACTCTAATTAATAAATTTAATACAAATATCAGCAATCAATTCAGCTACTGAATGCTGTTCAGTATGTTTGGAACAACTTGAGCCTGCTGTTTTCAAGTTTGCAAATTTTATGAAATCTAGATGGAAACAAGATCATCCTAGTGAAAAGTCAGTGTACAAATTGGAGCACTGTGCAAATACAAATAAACACTAGTCTAGATTTAAAAATTTCAAATATCTAGGGGGCAGAGAGAAAATGAAGGGGTGAAGACACTTCCCAGTACCACCTCTGGTCCCCTGAGAACCACCAGGACTCACTTCTAAGCTCAGAGCCAGGAATATATCCTGCACAACACTATGTGTGTCCCCAAACACAATAAATAATCAGAAGTCTGTAGCACTGTAGCACTGTCCTCCTGTTGTTCATTGATTTGCTCGAGAGGGCACCAGTAACGTCTCCATTGTGAGACTTGTTACTGTTTTTGGCATATTAAATACATCATGGGTAGCTTGCCAGGCTTTGCTGTGCGGGCATGATACTCTCGGTAGCTTGTCGGGCTCTCCAAGAGGGGTGGAGGAATCGAACCATTGTCTGCCGCATGCAAGGCCCTACACACTGTGCTATTGCTCCAGTCCAATCAGAAGTCTGGTAGCTAATAACTGTTCTATATTGATTACATGTTGGAAAAATATGGTATGTATTGGGTTAGGTAAGACATATTATATTTATCCCCTTTTCAGTTTTAAATGTGGTTATTGAAAAATATTTAGTTATGTGGCTCATGTTATATTTCCACTTAACATCACTTTTACCTACTGCTGTCATTCTGAATTGACACATTGAAGTTTAACATCCATATTACATTTAGTGTAAATTAAGAATGACTAGATTCAATTATAATTGAGGGGTTTGGGGGTTTGTTTTTGGTTTGGGGGCCACATATGCAGTGCTTTGGACTTACTTCTCTTGGTGGTGCTCAGCAGACCATATGTGGTGTCAGGGATTGAACCTAGATCCACTGTGTGCAAGTAAGGCACCCAACCCGCAGTACTATCTATCCAGTCCCTGAAATTTAGTGTTTAAATTAGCTTGTGCACTTTTGTTATTGTAGCAAACATGATTTCTCTGCATCCTTTTGAAGTATGGAAAATGTCAAAGATCCTTGCTTCTATTTTTTCAGACTTCTAGAAAGTTTCTAACTTAGTTATTCTTTACCATTTAGTTTCTTATTCTTGAAAATTCCATAGTGGGAATCATGATTGTTGGGGTTCAAGTTCAAGAGGGGTTGGAAGGAACTAATCTAAGATGAAGGAAGCAGAGTCGAGGGAGGTCCAAAGAGACGGCTTAATGTGCCCTGTGTGCGGAGATCCAAGTGTGATCCCTGAGCACATTTCGTGATGACTCCCCAACACTGCCGGCTGTAGCCCCCAAATATAAAATAGCCACCACCACCACCATAAAAGTCAACAGAATTGAATTTGCTTCCAAATGAGAGAGTGAATCTCATTACCCAGAAGAGAGGAGACTATATAAAGAAACTCATTCTATTCTGCTTTGTGCAACAGAAAAAGTGTGAGCGCTATTGGACCGAACCAGGAGAGATGCAACTCCAACTGGGTCCTTTTTCCATATCCTGTGTAAGTATCATACCTATGTCCATCAGGACTGAGCAAATGTTCTAGAACCCGCTTAGGAGAGAATTGTCACTAATCTCTGAAATAACCAAAAGTTTAATCTACTTCTTAGGAGGCAGAAAAAAGAAAATCTGATTACATAATCAGGATTCTAAAAGCCAAGTTCAATAGTGTAAGTACAAAACAGGGGTTGTGAGAACTTGACAGTGTGGAGATCCGGTGATTTGGGTTGCGTGTGAGACAAAGGGAGTGATGAGGCCTTTGATGTCTGAAATAAATCTTCACATTCAAAAGAGAGTTGTGGTCTAATCTGAGCTCCCCAATCTCATGGCACAATGATGAAATGAGAATATTCATAGGGTAAGTAGAGACTCCACAGTGAACAGAAGCTGGGAATTGACCTGAGGGTTCAGGCTGTTCGTTCTCTCAAAGCAGAGGGATTTAATGTCTCCCTGTGTCTGTGACCCATTTGAAGCACACCAGTTGGAAAGCTTGGTTTGAATTCTTTTCCTAGACTCCTCTTGTGAGAGAGGCAAGGCCTGGCCAATAGTTAAGTGACCTGAAATGACTTTTAATTGTTATGAGAGGGCACCAGACATCTTTAGGGAGGAAAGCAGAATCAATTGAAAAAAATATATTGATGCTAATTGGTAAAATCAGAGGCATCTGGAGGTAGAATGAAGTCACCTCTGAGCTCTGCTTTTCTCCTATCTTTTCTAGGAAACTCGAACCATCTACCAGTTTCATTACAAGAATTGGCCTGACCATGATGTACCTTCATCAATAGATCCCATTCTTGAGCTCATTTGGGATGTTCGCTGCTACCAAGAGGACGATGGGGTTCCCCTTTGCATTCATTGCAGGTATAAAGCTGGTGTGGGAACCTTCCTCTCAGGCTTCAGAACTAACAATGTCAGTCTGGCCAGAATTGCCAACTTAACTGAAGGAAGACCGAGTTGTTCGGAATGGAAGGTGGTTTGATTTCATAGATTACAGATTCCTGTTACTAGTTTCGCTTTTCCCAGCTAATCAGAGAGGAATCATGCTTAGACAAAAGTGAAGCATAAATAGTAGAACCTAAACATTAAGTCAATACTGTTCTGATAAGTAAGTTTTTTTTGAACTTGACAGTTCTTGTATACAGACTGGGAGAAGTGGCTTAGGATTGGTCCTGGGGTTTTGTGGGACAGGTCACCATTGACAAATACATTCATGGAAATAGTAGGTTTAAGAAGTTTCATTGCCTCGAGGCTTTCCCCTCCTTACACCTGCTGGCTTATTTCCAGTTGCAATGATCCACTCTCTGCGTCTATAATACATTCTGCTTTGGTCTTTCATTTCAGCGCCGGCTGCGGAAGGACAGGTGTTATTTGTGCTATTGATTATACATGGATGTTGCTAAAAGATGGGGTGAGTTTCAGTGGGCACTTGCCATCTGTCTACTCCATGGGTTTCACGCTTAGGAATTGCTTGGTTCTTCCAAATATTTATCTCCATGGTTCCTCTTTCCTAGAGCATTTATTGGGAGATCTGCTTTGTCAGATGATTAAATTAATTACTCAGTTGGTGGTTCCCAGACAAGCAACATCTGCACAGCTGAGTACTTGTTATGAATGCAAAATCTTGGGGCCCTCTTCAGATAAATTGAAACAGAATTTGTGTGGTCAGGGACTTCCAAAAAATTTTTCTGGTGTTTTCTAATGCCTTCTAGAATTTGCGAAGCACCCCCTTAAATTAGTCCTTTGGTGGGAAGGTTTGGGTCCCATATGGCAGTGCTCCGGGCTTCCTCCTGGCTCTGTGCTCAGGAATCACTCCTGGCGGGCTCAGGAAACTGCTCTGGTTCTGTTCAGTAATAGAGCACAATCCTTTTCATGCGTGCAGGACCTGGCTAGGAATGCAGCACTTCCAAATTTAAAAAGGGGGGAAGTTTAAAATATGGGCTCTAACCACCAACTGATTTCATAAATGCTTGTTTTTTCACTGCTGAAACTTCTTCCTTATTATCTTTAACTCCAGACACTTTATCACCCCACATGAAATAATTCTGCACAATTTCTTCATTCGTTACCAAGAAAAATACCAGTTTTGTTTGCGTGTTGCTTATGCTCAGGGGTTACTCCTGGCAGTACCCAGAGAACCTGGTGCTGGAGATTGAACCTGGGTCAGCCTCATGCAAGGCAAATGCCTCACTCCTCTCCTATCTTCTGGCCCTGAAAAATAGCAGGTTCTAAATCATGGTGCAAGTCTTGAGATATGTCACTCATTTTTAAAATGCAACTTGAGATGAACAGAAAGCTCAGTGGGCTGAGTGCGTGTTCTCCATGCAGGAGAACCAGGTTGGATTCCCCCCAGTGCTTGTCTAGGAGAAAGTGTAAGCAGAGACATGCACAGCCTCTGGTACTGCGAGGTGCAGTCCCATAACCAAAGAATTAATAAATTAAAATGCATCCTTTGGACTGGGGTTGTGACTCAGTGGTAGAGTGCTTGTTCTGACACTAGAAATAACAAGAAAAGCCTCCTTTTCCTTGTGAAGGCAGTAGATGACAAGTAGCAAGACTACAACAGTTTATGAACAAAGATAGGATCAATTATATTCTGTCTTCTTTCTTTTTGATAGATAATTCCTGAGAATTTCAGTGTTTTTAACTTGATCCAGGAGATGCGAACTCAGAGACCTACATTAGTTCAAACTCAGGTAGGAACTATGGCGAATGGATCTTAAATCCCGACTCCTCTCTCTATTAACAGTAAGGATCCCTAGTCAGCTGATAGTTCAACAATCTATACTAGTTTCTTGTTATAGTGTATTGGCTGCTTCCTGTTAATTCTGAATATCTTAGTATTTCCATATCCATTGTCCTGGGTCCAATTCCTTTCATTCTCATATTTCACTCTGTTCAGAAAATCAGAGACCAATACAATATTTTCTAAATTAAGATACTGTGACCTATAATATTGTTAATAATGGCTTCCCACACACATATAACTCCAACACCACACCCACCACCAGTTCAATATAGTGTTTTTTAGAAAGGATGTTGAACATACTCTACAAGTTGTATGATTTATTAAAAAGAAAAGTGTTAGCTCAGATTAACTTGAAATTTACTGGAGACAATGAGTTTCTTTTTGTTGTTGTTTGTTTAGGGGCCACACCTGGCAGTACTTGGGGGCCCATATGGGACGCTGGGGATAAAATCCAGGCTGGCTGTGTGCAAGGCAGATAGATACTTTAACTATTGAACTATAGTATTAGCCCACGAATATAATTTGTTTATAAGATCAAATATTTGATGCTGAAGAGATAAGTCACCAGGCTGGTGCGTAAGAATTGGATGCGGGAAGCATGGTTTGATCCCCATCATCACACAATCCCCTGAGCAGTGCTAGGATACCCCAAGTCCCCAGTACTAAGCTACTAGCCCATGAGTACTGCTGGGTATAGCCTCCCCACAAACGCCTGTAACTGAAAAATAAATTAAAAATACATAAAATCAGAGATGTGTGATTCAGGAGTAGCAGAAATTAGAAAATTTAATTTATGTGTTCATTTTAGGAAATGCTGAAAAATAATAAGTAAAGTCGATCATAATCCTATCACCCATATCACCCAATCCTATAAACACTGTTAATATTTCCTGTAACCTCTTCTGGTACATTATTTATACTTAAGAAGCATAATAGGGTCAGAGCGATAGTCCAGCAGGTTGGGTGCTTGCCCTGCATGTGGGCAACCTGGGTTCAATCCCTGTCATTTCATATGGTCCCTCGAGCACAGCCAGGAGTTTTTATCAAGTGCAGAGCAAGCCCTAAGCATTGCCTGGTGTGGTTCGAAAACAAAAACAAACAAAACAAAAAAAGGAGAAGCTAATTATAGTTAGACTATAGACTTATATGTGCCTCTTGAGTGGCTATAGTACCCTCAATACTGTTCCATACTTGTTTCTTCCATTAGAAAAGCTCTCTGTTTTCTTCTTTTCCTTCTAGTTCAAGTTTTATCTCCTGGGTAAAATCTTCCCAAATATCTCACTATGTATAATATTAATTTCACCCCTTATTTCTAGACCGGAAATGTAACATAAATTGTAAAATGGTCTTCATCTTTTAGAGTTAAGTATTCACTTACTCATTTGTTTCTCATCAAACGTTATTAATACTCATTATATAATACTCACATAAAATGTGTTATGACTAAACATTTTTGCTTAAACAGCAAGTCTTTAAGGTGTTTAAAACACTCCGGAATAAAACACTTTGCTCATGAGTTAACAGGTAAAACAGTTGACAATGGTAGTTCAGATACATTCATCTCGAAGTTATGAATTGAGGGGAAAAAATGAATAGCTTTTATCATATAAAAATATTTTGACCTACTCAGATTTTCCACTAATAGCCACTGGAAAAAAGAAGAGCTTTTTTTCATATGTTTTGACTGTAGGTGTTTTTTCTACATTCAACTCAGCAGAGGAAAGTTTGTGTGACACAAAAGCATTGGTTGGTTTAGTGCTTAGATTTAAAGAAGTCTGATCCATGTAAACGTATCAAGGATCCAAGAAAGATGCCAATCTAGTTGTCTAACATTAAATTGAAATATTGAATTCCGTTCCTAAAACCCCATTCCAAATCAGAATAAGTCCATTTCAGACCTCCTTTGAAGAGTTGGAAGATAGGTAAAACAATCTGGCATTATCAATTACAGACTATCTGAATAAATACTTCATTCATTGTAGCTGCTTTTTTCTGGCACCCCTCAAGCCAGGAAATAACTCTGTAACCAGGTAAGTGCTTCCTGTCTGATGTTTCCTTTCCTCTAAATGAAACTAAAAAATTTGCCAATGCTATGTGAGTTATTTAGGCTTTACCCATTTTTCCTGCTTAAACTATCTTTCCCACTTTTCCTGCTTAAACTATTTTTCCTGCTTAAACTATGTGTACAAATGGGGAAAGACTTGTTTAAGTCCATTCACATTAAGGCAAAGCAGAATAGTAAAACCCCATTAACTTTGTCATTGTAGAGGTCTATATAACTTCTTTATGTGAAATCCTTTTTTAATAACAGCACATTTCCAAATTCCATTTAACAATCTATCTTTTCTTTGGCATTTTATTAGGCAGATGTTCAAGAACTTGACTTAATGCACAAAGTTCAGAGTCAGAGAGCTTCAAGTTCTAATCCATGTCCTGAAGATTACTTACAAATTACCTTGGGAAAACTGTGTATAAGCAGGAGTACTCGTCTATTACTTTGTAGATTAGTTGTGAGGGTCGAGTTAAGTAATATACACTCTGTCTCCTACCAAACACAGAGAAGCTCTCTGTCTCCCTACCAAACACAATCTACTTACCTTTTTCTAGAAAAGATGAATATGTATTAATAAAAAGTAAATCCAGGATGAAATAACTTTTTTTTCAAGTGTGAACAAGAAAACAGAATTAGAGGGATGATGAAAGAAGGAAAAGTAGGATCGTGGATTTAGAACATAAAAAAGACAAAACAAAACTAAAACAGGCTATAGGAAGGTCTTGTACATTAGACGTAGGTCCAGTAGTTATGAGTTTTAGCAACCTAAAGGTAATTTAAAATCTGAAATGGCTACACAAACAGAAAACAGATCACAAACAGAATAGAAATTAAACTATGTCTTTATCTTTTTATCTCTGCTGCCTGCTATACTAGCATTTGATACTAGGATATACACTAGTGTATACACGCACAGTAACTATAACATACTAGAAATTTGGCATTCCTCCTCCTGAAATATGGTTCTGTCAAAGAATAATATTTCTGTTTATTTTCATTTCTGATACTTTCCAGGAACAGTATGAACTGGTCTACAAAGCTGTATTAGAGCTATTTAAGAGACAGTTAGAAATTATCAGTGATAAACATTCTGGAATGGAGGTAAGCCTTTTTTATTTTTAATTTATTTTTTTAACTGAATCACAGTTACAAAGTTGTTCATGATTGGGTTTCAGTCATAGAATGTTCCACACCCATCCTTTCGCCAGTGTACATTTCCCATCATCAGTGTCCCCAGTTTCCATGCTACCCCCTGCCTGTCCCCATGGCAGACACCTCTCTCCCTCTCTCCTCCCCCCTTACTCTCTTACTCTTTCTCTCTCTCTCCCCTCTCTCTATCTCTTTTTAGGCATTGTGGTTTGCAATGCAGATACTGAAAGGTTATCAGGTATCACTGTATCACTGTCATCCTGTTGTTCACCGATTTCCTCAAGCAGGCACCAGTAACGTCTCCGTCGTCCTAGCCCTGAGATTTTAGAAAGTGCCACATTCGAGGCTCTTTCAGGGTCAGGAGAATGAGACTCATCATTGTTACTGGCTTTTGGCATATTGAATACGCTTTACCCATTTTTCAGGTATATCCCTTAACCTACTTTCAACACTCAGTTCTTGTAAAAAATCATCATTTCTAACTATTATTGTCATACTGGTCCCTTCTCTGTTCTAAGTGCTCTTCACCCCCGACACTCTTGTGGCAAGCTTCCAACCACTGACCAGTCCTCCTGGACACTGTTTTCCCTGGTCTTGGATATTAGTCTCATAATATGTATAATGGAGGTAAACCATTAGCTTGTGGCTGCTTTCCCCCCCTCCCTCATGTTTGATTTTGAGGGATCGCAAAAACAAGGGATCTCAGATTAGGTGGATGATACAACTTTTTTACTATTTTGGGCATGGTAAAAAGTTTTGGGGATCACCCACGGGAGTTCCAGAATACTCCCAGCTCTTGTGCTGAGAATCACACTGGTGATGCTGGGAACTATGGTGATGCGTGAGAGCCACATGTTTGATAACTACCTTAACCACCATGCTCTCTCTCTGGCTCCAACTTTTTACAGCTTATAATATTGAAATGGAGGCATCAGATGTTCAAGTGGGACTGCATTTATAAATTAGCAGAGAACAGATGGATGGTGGCACTTTAATTTAGAAATTTTATCTCTTGGTTTATTTATAGTTTCCAGCCATATTTAGGAACAATGAGAGTAAATGAAAGGCATGGGATATTCTGATCCCATATTTTAGATGTGTGGTGAGACTGACAGAAAGTGAAATCATGATTGAGTCCTGATGTCCTAATTGCTCTTCATCGCCAGACACTGATTTGTGATGTGTATGTGTGTGTAGGAAAATATTTTTATTTAAATAAAGTTTTCTAAATAGGAAACAGAGCGATAGTACAGTGGGTAGGACATTTGCTGTGCACATAGCCAGCCTAGGTTCTATCCCCAGCATCCCATATGGTTTCCCGAGCACCATCAGGAGTAGTTAATTCCTGAGTGCAGAGCCAGGGGTAACCCCTGAGGACCATTGGGTGTGACCCCAAAATAAAAAGCAATAATAATAAATAAAATTTTCTAAACATAAAGGAATTGGTGAAGGAAGGACATAATAAGCAATGATGTAGCTAAATATAATAAGCTCTCCTTTCACTTGAGTTTTCTAAATTGATGATTAAAGCAAATTTAACACTGATGTGGTTGGTGGGAAAGTATTTAAGATATTATAAACATGGTTGGCTTAAGGATTTAAAGCAAATTAAGTTTTCTATACTCAAAACAATAATACCTGTTTAATCACATGTTACAGATATATATTGTCTATAAAGTCTATAGGTACATATAAATGTTTGTCTGATGGGTCACCACTAAACAAGACATAAAGACATTTAGAAACACTATAGGTAAATTAAAATGAAATTTTAGGAGCCAGCGATATAGTACCTTGTGTTAATAGATTCCAGTTTGATCCTGAATACTGGTACAATTCACCTTGAGCATAGAGCCAAAAGTACCATTGCTTGTGGTCATCAATTTAAAAAAAATTATAAAAATTTAGTAAAAGGGGATAAGATAAGGAAAAATAAAGCTCCAGGGGTTAAGGTTCTTGCCTAACATGTGTCTTACCTGAGGTCCGTTACTGGCATCTATATGGTCCCCTAAGGAGTGATCCCTAAGAGTAGAGCCAGGAGTAAGCCCTGAACACCACCAGGTGTGACCCCAAAGCAAAAAGTAAATAAATTAAATAGATATATGATCCAACTTGATGCTGTCTATAAGAAACACACTTCAAATAGATTAGTTGGCTTAAAGGATTAGAAAAAAGATGTATCATGAAAACATAAATAAAAAGAAAACAGGAATATCTTTAGTAACATCAGTTAAAGTAGACTTCAGAGAATAGAAAATACACACAGACTGGGAGATTATATATTGATAAAGAGCCAAACTATCAATTAGACATAGTAGTCCTAATTGTGCAGGACCAAACAACACTGCAAAATATGTGAAGCAAAAATTGAGAGAATTGAAAGGAAGAATAAATAATTGCTATGATGTAGGAGACACCAATGCTTTCTTCCAAAACTGCTATAAATACAAAGAAAATTGTCAAAAATATATAACTCTACTGCCTCAGCAACCATAAGGATCAAGTCCATAATCAGGAAACTTCACACCCAAGCTCACCCTTCCGCCTAGGGCAGTGCTGGAAGGAACCCACTTGCCGATCTGACACATTCTATCAACCCCAGCTCACACCTGAGGTCCTGAAAAGAAAATCAAATCTTTAAGCCAAGAACTACAGCATTTCCTAGCATAAAAACAGAGGAAACGCCGCAACAAAATGAATGAGAAAGAAATCTTTTCAGAAATAAATTGGGAGTTTTCTAGCCAATGTACTTTAAGTATCTTTTATGAAGAAAATCAATGAAATGCATCATCTGGACACTAACACAGAATGAAACATGAATGAAATGAAACAGGAAGTGCAGGAGCAGAGAGTTCCTCATCAAAGAGATCAGAGCAAACACACACACACACACACACACACACACACAACAAAACCCCAAAACTTCAAGCAATGATATGAAAAGCAATGAATGAAAAAATAGGCTCTGTCTAGCAGAGGAAAGAATAAGTGCAACTGGAGATAAAACTCCAGTGATGGATCAAATAGAAGAGGAGAAAAAAATAAGATTTAAGAGAAATGAAAACACCCTTTGGGAAATACTAGAGTCTTTAGAGCCTAAGAGATTGATAGAATCCTTAAAGAGTTTGATATCAAAGTCTTATAGAGTACATTAGAAAAATGAATGTTAGGATAATGGGAATACCAGAAGATGAAGAGAGAGAGAGAGAGAGAGAAGTGAACAGAATGTCCAGTCAGGGAAATAAATAGCTAAAAACTTCTCAAAAGTTAAAGAAAGATCTAACCATAGAAGGTCAAGAAGCTGAGCGAACACTCAGGGTTTGTTTTTTTTTTTTTTTGCATTTCTAAATGCAAAAGTATATATCCAAGACACATCATTATCCAATTCTCAAAAGTCAACAAACAATGCAGAAATTTAAAGTATCTAGGAGGGAAAGGAAAACATACAAAGGCACCCTGATCAGACTTTCACCAGACTTCTCAGCAGAAGCTCTGTAGCCTATGAGAGAGTGGAATGATCTAGTCACAGATCCAAAAGATCTTCTAAAAATCTTCCAAAAATATTTTACCCTGGGATTGGAGTGATAGTACAGCAGATAGCACGTAGGGCATTTGCCTTGCACGCAGCCAAGCTGGGTTGGATCCCTGGAACCCCTAGTAGTTCTCTGAGTCCACCAGGAGTAATTCCTGAATGCAGAGTCAAGAATTCCTGAGCATTGCTGGTTGTGGCCCTCAAACAAAAAAACAAACAAACAAACAACAACAAAAGAATATTCTACTCTCTAACCCTGCAAAATCATCATTGAAAATGATGGAGGAATAAAAGTTTTCCTACATGAACAAAGAGCTAAGAGAGTTTACCATCATCAGATCTGAAAAATGCTAACAACAGTCCTTGAAAAGAAAAAGAAAATGCAAAACAGCATTAATCCTCGAGCATGGTGATAAATAGGAACACAGAATTAGAAACATAGACAAGAACCAAATGAGTGAACAAGACATCAGAGGGAAGGAAGTCCTGCAGAGTGTCTGTTGTCTGAATATGACCGCACAGCACCGCACAGCAAAGTTTCTCTTTGCTAGAGAGAGATACAGTTCTCATAGCAACCACAAAATAAAAATCTGGAGCAGAGATACTTAGAAGAAAAAAAGGATCAATATGGTGGAATCACCAGGAAAAACAACAACAACAACAACAGCCAAATGGAGAGACAAATATTAACAAATGGGGGAAAAACAGATATAGAAAACAACTAGAAAAAAAATAGAATGGTAGTTAGCCACCAAATATAAATAATCCTGCTAAACTCAGTTTTAAGGGGTCTGAACAGAAGTGATTTGTGCACATGTATATCCCAGTCCTCTGTTTTTTTGTTTGTTTGTTTGTTTTTCTTTTGTTTTTCCATTATGTGAAAGTGAAATACTAGGGGGTACGGTGCCGCCAGCAGGTCAATCTGTACCTGTGAGGCGAGTGCATCAGCAGCCTGATGGCACCATCAGACGTTCAGATACCCCAAAATTGCTGCTGTGCCTTTGGCCAGACCCCAAAAACTTGGGACAAAGTTTACCAAGAAAGTAAACGGCCAAAAGTTAGGTATGTGGAGACACACCCACAAACCACCTCCAGCTCAGCTATATAATTGGAGGCATGGCCTCTCTCGTTCCTGATCGAACTGCTTAATGGCCATGATCCCAGAGACTCAGAAACAAATCTTGGAACCCAAAGGCTTTTGGCAGAAACGCGTCCTGTTCCTGCAGTAGGTTACTGGGGCTGGGCCACTCCAGGTGGGAATAGGTTTCGTGCCTTGGCCTGTTCCCCCTGGCAGCCTGGTGACCACCATCCTCCAGAGGCCACTGGACAGTCAGGTTTGGACCTGCAGTGACAAGACACAGGGAGCCTCACCACATGGGGGTTTCTCCCCATCCCAACGAGACCTCGAGTCGCCACCTATAAATGGCCTCTCTGGCTCCTGATCAAACTGATTAACAGCCATGATACCGGAGACTCAGAAACAAATCTTGAAACCCAGCGGCTTTTGGCAGAAATGCATCTGGACTGCATACAAGGTGGTCGCCGGCTCAGAGCTTATTGGAAAGCCAGGCATGAGCCGGCCGTGACAGGGCAACTGCAGTCTCATGGGAAGGGGGGTGGTATTGGCTCGTCCTTCACGCCCTACCGAGTTCACGAGTTGCCCCCCATAAGAGGCTCTCTGGCACAGCCATGGCTCCAGAGGCAAAAGGACTTAATCCAGAGCCCAGAAGCTTGCGGCAGAAAAGTGAATGGACCATGTGTTAAACTACGGTGCCATGCCTCTCCAGGAGGGAAAGGGTGTTGCTCCCTTCCGCCTTTCCCCCCCCTCCCCGGCAGCAAGGTGGCCACCACCTCAGAGAGTATTGAAAAGCCAGGTATGAGCTGGTGGTGATGGCACAACTGCAGTCTCATGGGAAGGGGGATGGTACCGGCTTGTCCTTCACACCCTACTGAGGACATGAGTTGCCCCCCACAAGCGGCTCCCTGGCACACGGCCATGGCTCCAGAGGCAAAAGGACTTAATCCAGAGCCCAGCAGCTTGCAGAAGAAAAGTGAATGGACCATGCGTTAAACCCTGGCGCCATACCTCCCCAGGAGGGAAAGGGTGTTGCTCCCTTCCACCTTCTCCCCCGCTGGCAGCAAGGTGGCCGCCGCCTCAGAGCTTATAAGAAAGCCAGGTATGAGCTGGTGGTGATGGCACAACTGCAGTCTCATGGGAAGGGGGGCGGTACCATCTCGTCCTTCACGCCCTACCGAGGTCATGAGTTACCCCCACGAGCGGCTCTCCAGCACAGCCATAACACCAGACACACGGAAACCAATCTTGCAATTATCTGGCTCTTTGCAGAAATCCAAAATCATGGCTGCGTGACATTATATGATTCTCATAACCAGCTATAGAAAACAAAATATTTCACGATGCCTTTTCAGCAATTCTGATTGTTTGGGGGGAAATTCTAAAACAATAATGGTGCATCTTTTGTCAAAATAATGAGTGTAATTAATATAGAGAAGAGTTAAGTAGAAATCATCTACCTCACAGGCATTTGGAGGGGTAGGAGGGGGGGTATACTGGGGTTCTTGGTGGTGAAAAATGAGTACTGGTGAAGGGAAAGGTGTTTGATCATTGTATGACCGAGACTTAAATCTGAAAGCTTAGTAACTTTTCCCACAGTGATTCAATAAATAAATATAAAAAGAAAATAAATAAATAAATAAATTTAAGGTGGAGTTCATGCCTAATTCAATCAGCTAATCAGTGGCTGAATAAATAGCAGTACTCCTACCAAAGAAAAGTGAAATACTAAAGTCTTTGTATCAGTTTCCTAGGGCTGCTGTAACAAGTACTAGAAGTGAGGTTGCATTAAATTTAAAGCATATTTACTTTCTCACACATCTGGAGTCAGGAAGTCTGAAGCCAAGGGTTCAGCAGGGCCAGGCTCTGTGACAGCACTAAGGGAAGAATCTTGCTGGCCTCCTGCAGTTTCTGGACTTAGTCAGCAATCCTTGGATTCAATGGCTTACTCCATTACTCCCATCTTGCCTCCAACATCATATCACATTTTCCCATGTATTCCTGGGTCTCTATTTCCTCTTACAAGGACACAAATCATTGTACTGGGTCCCACACTAATCCAGCATGACCCGACCCTATCTAATTACATCTGCAAAGACCTATTTCCCCCAGTACCAGAAGTTAGATTTCAAGGTATTCTGTTGAAATAGATGCTTAACAGGTCGAATGTTGCAATTGTCTATTTTTCCAGCCTTTACACATCTCTGGAATCAGAATATATTTTATAATTGACAATTATCTTTGATTTCATGAGCCACAGCATCAAATGTCATAATGTGGTATGCTATGAAAAAAATCAAGATTAAGGGCTGCAAGGCAGGCATGTAAAGTGTGATTTTAGGTTGAGTGCTCAGGGATAATTTCTTATGTAGGTGATAATTAAACAGATTAATTATTTGAAAGAAACTGGTCGTGCAAATTTGGGAGCAATACTATTTTGATCTGAGGGAGTAGTAACTATGAAAGCCTTGAATTGGAAATAAATTTGGTATGCTTATGGAATGGCAAGAAAACCCAATAGCAAGAATTTAATGATGAACTAAGACTAAATTAGATGAAAAACCTAAGAACTTAATAAGCATCTACTGGAACTTTATAAAATATAATACAGGGGTTAAATTTCTTGCCTTGCAAGCTACCAATACTAGTTTGATCCCCAGCACTATTATATGGTCCCCAAACCATTACCGAGAGAGATTCTTGAGCACAGAGGCAGAAATAAGCTCTAAGCCCTCCTGAGTGAAGCCCCCAAACAGAACAAAACCAAAAAGTACCTATTAGCTTTAACTTGATAATGCTTAACTTGCAAAATGGAAAAATCCCCACATTTATAAGGATACACATTTATAAGGATACACAAAGCAAATTTCATCTAGCTAATTCCTTAATCCCTTATTCTGATCCTTTTATTCTACATATGTGAACAAGTTCTTACTAAGTTTAATATTTTGGGGTTTTAGAAAACTTAAACTTGGGAAAAGGAAGTCCACCAAATAGTGTTCAGGGGCTATGTGTGGCTCTGTACTTGAAGATTACTCCCAGCAGTGCTTGGGAAACTGTAATCTTAAAAGAATTTAGGGAATGAAGAGATGGTACAGCTAGGAAAGAACTTGCCTTGCATGCAGCTGACCCAGTTCAATCCCCAGCAACACATATGGTCCCCCAAATGCCACCAGAAGTGATCCCTGAGCACAGAGCCAGGAGTAATCTTTGAGCTCTGCTAGGTGTGTTCTCCCCATTACTTAAAAATTTTTTTTCTTTCCACTCATGCTTCCCTTTGTTACTCTTGCTTCATTGCAGTGACAGAGAACCCAGGCAGTGCAGGCATGGTGTTCATGTTTTCAGCTGCAGTGCTCTGGGCCAGTGTGCATATCAGGTTGCAGTGTTCCCATGCCCACACCTGTGCTCACTGAAGTTTGCATTCCTTTGGTGACGGTGCTTATTCACATGCCCACTCTGGTCACACCCCCCTTTTTTTGCTTAGTTTTCAGACCACACCCCAAAGTGCTGAGGACTTACTCCTGGCTCTGCACACAGGGATCACTCCTGGTGGGGCTCAGGGAACCAGATAGGGTGCTATGGGTCAAATTTGGGTGGGTTGCATGCAAGGCAAACACCCTACCCACTATACTATCACACCAGATCTTATCCCACCCCTTTTGGTGCTGCTTGCACACCTGGCAGTGGTGACAAAGAGCTCAGACAGCAGAGTTACCAGATTCAAAAAGTCAAGTTGCTATGATTCTGGTTGGTGCATGTGGGACACCAGGGATTTGAACTTGTGACCATGTGTGTAAGGCAGTTCTCAAGCCCCTGGGTCCTGGGTTTAATATTTTGGAAAGACATCTAACTCAAATTTTAAGAAATATTTATATTTTCTTAAAAAGTACTTCTCAGTAACATATGTGTTGAAATATCTTATTGTCATTGATTTATAAAAACAAATCTCTTATTTCTCTTGAAGTTTCCTGCAAAGTATTCAGTCCCTCAGCAAAACCCTACTGTAGAACAAGAATATTACTCTTCAAATTTACCAAACATGTGAGTATAATTTTATACATGTCAATACTGTCTAATTCTATCTGGGAGTGCCAGCTCAAGCTCCTAGTTCATTGAGATGCTGGTTGAAGATATGGGACAAGGTTCAGTGGGTGTGATACCACCATTCCTTTCTTTTTATTTCAGCAGCATAAAAGAAACAAAAATGAATCCACAGCCAAAACAAAGGATAATGGAGACAAAAGCCGAAGCTTCTTCCACTGATCTCAAGACTTCTGAATTAAGTGAAAATGAAGGGTTACCTCTGTACTGTATGAAAGAGAGCAATTCTTTGGAGTTTTGGGAGCTTAATAGTGGTTGTACCGAAAATACTGGCACCACCATAAAACAGGAGCCAAGGGCGTTTCCAGTGACTGGAGAGCTGCTTCGGAAGCATCAGAGTTTGGACTTGAGCTCCATGTTGCTTGACGTATATCCTAATTCTAAATCTGCAAAGGCCACAGCAGAATGCTTTCCTTCAAAGGGGTTGATAACGAGGACCAAATCAACTCCCTTTGAATTTATTCATCAGAGAGACACAAAAGACTTGGACAGAAAGGAAAATTTTTCTTGCTTGAACTCTCAACCACATTCTTGTTTCAAACAGGATCAAAAAGTGATGCATCTCTCTTCAGCAGAACTGAATTATGCACTGTCACATGACTCTAAGCACCAACTATGTAATGTCTCTGCAGAAGAATGGGATGAGTCCCATGCTTTCAACGAGTATTTCTACATGTCTTTAGTGGAAGATCCTTATTTCTCATCAGTGTCCCCAAGTAGTACTGGCTCTAAGATGTCACTGGATTTACCTGAGAAGCAAAATGAGACTGTCTTACCTTGTTCTCCGTTGTCAGCATCTGCTACAACTCTCTTTTCTCATCGCAACAGTTCACAGGATTCTTTGGCACTAACACATTCAAATAATATCCCCCTACCACTGAACCAAGAGATAGCAGTTGTAGGTAAGTTAAAAGAGAAAAATTGTAGAAAACTTTCTCTTCCTTTTGCTGTGTCGTGTTATTTTGCTAGGAGAGTTAGGGGTCAAATTACTGTTCTGGGGAACAAACCCATTAGGGCTGCATCCCACTCAGGACTTTATACATGCAAAGCAAGGGTTCTGCCACTAAGTCATGCTCCAGATACCTCAATTTCACTTTATTTCTATAGGAAATTTGTGCCTCTTCTCATTCTTCTGTTCTTGCTTTTCTCTGTCTCTTTCTCCTTTTCCTTTCCCCTCCTCAGAAAAATGTTTCAGAAGCTTTACTGATATAATAATTTGAAAACAGCATTAGAGAAATAGGCAGTATTCATAAAACCGGCAACCATGGAGGCAGTCAGATGTGGAACAAGAACCATTTCATCAGAACTGCTTCCTGGGCGATTATCCTCGCTCTTAGAAATGTGTGTCAGAAGTCAGAAGTCAAATCAACTCTCAATATGTAGCAAACAACTTCAAAAATAAAGAGCTGAAAAGATTTACTCAAGAGCATCACCTGGTTACTCAGAATTTTAATTATATAATCATATGGCTGTAATGAGCTGAACAGATTTCTAAGAATTTAATTTTCTTCCTGAAGAAGACTTAGGATCTGATTTCTTGTTGTGCAGTTGTAGTATATCTGTAGAATGAGATTGCATCTAACATTCTGTGTGGGATTTTAATCCTATATACACCATATTTCCATATTTTTCAAAGTTTGGGGTATTGCCTACAACATAATTTTTGTTTTACGAGTGGTTTGAAATAATTCAGGTAGAGCTCATTATATTACTTTGATGTGGAAGATAATGTAGAAAAGTAAAAAGCTGGGGCCAGCATGGAAAGGGCACTCATATGAGCCCCTGAGCACATCAGGAGTGAGTCCTGAGCATAGAGCCAGAGAAGCCCTGAGAAAAGCAGGGTGTTCCCAAACCCCCTCTGGCAACCCCTCCCCTCCTGAATATAAAGGAAAACAAAAAGAAAGTTTAACTTTTGTTTTCTGCAGAATTGAAAGAAAGTGACACCCCAGTGGGGCTTTGAACCTAGATACTCAGTCCTAGGGTTCGAGCCTGGAGTTTAGTGTCTGGTCCAACAATATGGTGCTATTAGGACGCCAGTGGGCTGGGACCACCAGGACCATATTTGGCAGTACTTTGGGAACTTTGTGTGCCACCTTTGAGCTATTGCCCCAACTTTAGTTTTTCTACCTATACTATCAGAAATCTAAACATTTTACCTAGATAGTAAGTTACAATTTTTGCCCAATAACATTATTTGTGCAATGTTTTATTTTATTTTTGACTTTGGGGCCACACCTGGCGATGCTTAAGGGTTACTCCTAGATCTGTGCTCAGGAATCATTCCTGGCAGTGCATGGGGACCATATGGGATGCTGGGAACCAAATTCCGGTCTCCACAGGCAAGGCAAGTGTCTTACTAGCTGTACTGTGACTCCGTTCCTGCCGTACAGTGTTTTAATACAGATGAATATCTTTGTTACTAAAATATTCTATATTATTTTAGCATGTTATCTTATTTTGCAGCTTAAAGGAATTTTATTTTTCTAGATACCTTTTTCTTTTTTTTTCACTTTCTTTTTTTTTTTAGATTTACAATTTTTTGTGCTTGAGTTTCGATTATACAATGATCAAATACCCATCCCTCCACCAGTGCCCATTTCCCACCACCATGGATAATATCCCTCCCACCCCCATCCCTCCCATCCCACCCTGCCTCTGTGGCAGGGCAATCCCTTGTGTTCTCTCTCTCCTTTTGGGTGTTGTGGTCTGCAAAAGAGGCTTTGAGTGGCAAACATGTTCAGTCCATAGTCTACTTTCAACATGCATCTCCCCTCCTGGGAGGATCCTCCAAACACCCTTTATTTGGTGCTCCCTTCTCTATCTGAGCTGCCCTTTCCCCAAGAATGCCCTGCTGGCCCCTAAGCTATGGAGTAACCCTCCTGGTGCTGATCTCAGCTATTCTTGGGTATTAATCTCATACTTTGTTACTTTATATCCCCCAGATGAATGCAGTCTTTCTATGTCTATCCCTCTCTTTCTGACTCATTTCGCTTAACATGATACTTTCCATGTAGTACCACTTGTATGTAAATTTCATGACTTCATCTTTTCTAACAGCTACATAGTACTCCATTGTGTAGATGTACCAAAGTTTCTTTAACCAGTCATCTGTTCTTGGGCATTCAGGTTTCTTCCAGTTTCTGGCTATTGTAAAGAGTGCTGCAATGAACAAACAAGTGCAGATCTCACTTCGACTATACATTTTTGCCTCTCTGGGATATATTCCCAGGAGTGGAGCATCATCATTGAAAAAGCATCCTATTTCAGTTTAATAACATTGACACATCTGCCATCTGGTGGCACTTTCTTATAATAGCATTTAAAAATTTTTCTAGGAAAAAAACCCAAAATACTCTCTTAAAACAGTGATAGAAATAGAAAACCCTACAAATACCCATCTCATTAATATTTGTAAAATGAGAGTAGGAGCAATAGTACAGCGGGTGGGGTCCTTGCTTTGCTCGCGGCGGGCCTGAGTTTAATTCCGGGCAACCAACAGGGTCCCCCCCAAGCATTTTCAGGACTAATTCCTGAGTGCAGTGTCAGGAGTAACCCCTGAGCATCTCCAGGTGTGCTCCCCCACCTCAAAAAAAGTTTTTAAAAAGCTGAAAATGTGTTTGTAAAATGAAGAAGAGAGCGGTACTAGGGAGGGGACTCAACGGACTGGAGCACATGCTCTGCGCGTGGGTGTCCTCGGTTTGATCTCTGGCTCGGGGTTCATGCACTGCTGGGAGTGACCACAAACAGAGCCAGAACTAGCCCTGGAGCACCTCAAAGCAAGGCCCCCAAATCAATATATAAATTATTTTTTCTTAATTCAAAGAACAAATAAAGCGATAAAAAGAGGGCTGGTGCTTTGCATGTAGAAAGTCCTTGATTTGACTCATGGCACTGACAGAAAAAAAGGAGAGAAAAAAACTACTAAGATCTTGGTAGTTTTACCTACTTAGTAAACTGAATCTGGCATCTCAACATATTTTAGAGTGTGTTATTCTGTGTAAAATTAAAGTTATATAGAAACAACCTACTGCATCTAAAATTAATGTTTTGTATTATCTGAGCTGATATTCAGTAATACTCAATAAAATACTTTTGAGCTTCTAAAGGAAAAGGGAAAAATCCTGCTAAGTTTACCACTGAAAATAAGATTTATTTTGTCTTTTTCTTGAGCAGATGTTTTCTTTGAAATTGGAGGGGAGTCCTGGGTATTCCTCCTGATCCTGAACCCACACTGCTCAGTGCCAAGAGGCCAAGGACAATCACCCTGGTGCTGAGACCTAGACGATGAGGAGAATTGAATGTGGGTTCTCCACATGCGGGCATTTGCTCCACCCCCCTGAGCTATCTCCCAAGTCCTAGATTAAATATTGTAACAGTTCTTTACATCAGGATTTTTAGCATGTACGAATTTTCATTGGATTTTTTTAATTGAAAAATGTAATTATATTTCTGGCATTTTGTGTAGTAACTTCTCCACGAACAGATGAAGAAATACCCCCGCCCCTTCCTGCACGGACACCTGAGTCTTTCATCGTGGTAGAGGAGGCCAGTGAGTATGAGTCAGTGAATGTAAAATAAAGTGTGGATTATTCCAGTTCTTTCTCTTTGTGTCCTTTTAATGTTCTGTATGCTGAGTTGCAGTAGTTTTCTAGAAGAATCACCACCTTCGCAGGAATTGGACCTCTGTTTTTTCTTTTTAATGTTTTTCCAGGGGAAATCTTACCAAGTATTCCCAAATCCTTACCTTCAACCCCGAAGACAAAAATTGGAACATCCCTAGAATGGAGTGGAACAACTGGATTAATGAAATTTGATGATACTGTGAGACTGAGACCAAGCAAGGTCAGTATTTTTCTGACACTATTCATTTTAATTCAACAGGCTATGGTCTACTCCTTGTTTTGTTTGGTTTTGGTTTTGGTTTTTGACCACATCTGACAATGTTCAGGGGGTCACTAGGCTATGCTCCAGATTTGATCCCTGGCACTGTGTTGTCCCCCAGCTGTGCTGCGTGAGGCCTTGGTGGCTCCCTGAACTCCTAGGCTTTGTCAGGTAAAAAGAATGCATAGCCAGGCCCAGATTCCCTGAGCACTACTTGGGAGGCTCCCCAGCAAATAAATAAATAAATAAATAAGCTTAAAAATTAGAGAATTTATTAGAGAGATAGTTAAGGTACTTGCTTGCCTTGCACATGGCTGACCCAGGTTCCATCCCCAGCATCCCATATGGTTTCTCAAACCTGCCAGGAACGATTCCTGAGTGAAGAGCCAAGAGCAAATCCTGAGTACTGCTGAGGTGTGGCCCCAAAGCTAAAGAAACCAAAACAAAAAAGTTTTTATCTAAGCAAACATTGAAAAGTGCCTATAGTTGCATTACTAGCAATACCGTGTATGTATTTGATTGAACCAATGTTCTCATACATACAAAGTAGGTCACACTGAATCACATCACTGATCCTGTGCCTTTTCAGTCATACTTTAAATTTATGAATAGTAATTATTACTACTAATAAAATGCATACAGGTAATTGTTTTAAATCAGCAACTCCCAGAGCAAAGAACATTAGAGAAGTAATGAAACTAAGTCCAATGTCATGAAGTAATTTCAATTTTAACAACTTACTCCGAATCAAAATTTCAGAAAAATGTTCTGAATAGAAAAAAGTCAAAAAGGACCAATTTAGGATCAACTTTCATGTCATATAAAAATCACTGTAAGAGGGGTCAGAGAGATAGTAGAGCAAGTAAGAAGCTTGCCTTGCATATGGTGACCCACCTGGGTTTGATCCCTGGCATTCCATATGGTCCCCAGAGCTTCGCTAGGAGTACAGAACCAGGAGTAATCCTTGAGCACTACTAGGTGTTCCTAATGCTCCCCCCACCCCCAAAATCACTGTAAAAGTTAAGAATATCTTTTCACAATTCAGCATACTTATAATCTCAGGAAAAAAGTGTCAACATTTTATATCAGTCTATATAGAAATATGAAATATAATTTTATACATATTGCTTGGGTTCATACACTTTAGAATATATTCCTTTTTCATTTCTCTCTCTTTTTTTAGAGCGTAAAACTTCGAAGTCCCAAATCAGGTAAAAACTTTTGTTTGGTTTTGTGACATTTGGTCACATTTGTGACATTTAAAAGTTTTTCAGGTTTTGCCATTGTGTTCAATGTGATTTTAAAAACTTACTTTGGGCCACTTTGATCTTTTACTTGTCATTGCTTCTTTACTTTCCTAAGTTTTGTTTTATATATTCAACAGCAATATTAATAGCTAATAGCTAATATTTATTGGGCACAAATAGGTTCTTTACATGCATTACAGCAGATGATGGCTCTCATAGTAGAATATTATCAAATGCATAGATTGGCACGTGAAATAAAGTTTAAAAAGCACAGCTCTAAAGTCCGCAGCCTACTAATAGTTATTGAAATTCTTGATTCAATTCTATGCCAATTTTTTTATTTATAAGAGGACAATAGTAGAATATCTTTCTTAGAAGAGTTTTGTGAGAATCATGATAGCACATTAAAGATTTTAGCATAATGGTTGTCAAATAATAATAATCTCTCAATGTTATCCATTATACTTTTTATTGAAATAGTTATTCAGTCTCTTCCTCTTCAAGCCCATACTCTTCCTTGAGCATGCATCTCACTTGCTTACCCTACTAGGTTCCTTTGCTTGCTTCTTTACTTGCTCTTTCAAGCTTGTGTTCTCTCTCTCTTTGGGGGGGGCCACATCAGGCAGTGCTCAGGTTTTACTCCTGGCTCTGACTCAGGCATCAGTTCTGGTGGGTGGGGAGCAGGGGTATAAACAAGCTGGCCTCATGCCAGGCAAGTGCTGTACTGTCATTCCAGCCCCAGTTCCTGCTCTCTTGAACACACATTCCTTTATTTCTTTACTCACATCTTTCTGAATAAGCTTTATTCAATATAAACTATCTTCACCAAATAAACAAATAAAAGTTATTCAACGAGCTTCCTACGCAAATTACATGTGCCTTATACATGTTAGAATGGACAGGATACAATTAATATTCATTTTTCACCAATAAGCAATTTTCTGCTTGATGACAACATCAGAAATAGGGGGCAAAAGGAGCTGCCACTGAAGTGGGTAGGAAAGCTTTCATTGGGGAGAAGAAATAAATTCAAGGAGAGGTATAGAGGAAAAGATATTCCAGGATCAGGGATCACAGAAATAGTGACTCAAAGGTAGAAGAAATAAGCATGATAAATAGAGCACCCTGGTGAGCAAGTTAATTTGTGAGAATTTATTTTGGAAATGCAAAAACTAAGTTTGAGAAAATGTGGGTAACATAAATGTAATAAATATCATTTATGCAATTTTATGTGTATTTTATTACACACACAAAATGAGGCAGAAAAATTTAGACTTAATGCAGTAATAAGTGCCATTGCTTTTTTTATCAGCAGAGTATTAAGATGAAAGTAGTATTTTAGGAAGATATGTGGGCTGTCTATGTTTACAAAATGTGAGCTTTAGTTCCTAGAATATTCCCTTACAGCGAAATAGAAGATAATAGGCTACTTCAGAGTAGTAATTAAATATTTATTAAGAGCCAGCAGGTTATTCTAGTTATTGCATTCATTGCTGGAAATAAGCATTATGATTTGCGTATTACCTAGTATATAAAGTATAAACTAGAGAATTTGCTGTATAGAAAAATTCTATGACCTAAAATCCTAATGACCAAAGACAGCTAAAACTAGCATTTGACCCAATTTTCATTTTCAAGATAAAAAATATACTAATAAGTTAATGTAGTTTATACTCAGCAGTGTGTAATGGAGCACGTATATAAGCAGAACATCATTTGTGTCTTTAGAACTTACATCTTGGGGAAATAGGTTCATTAAAGTTATTTAGTATGGAAAATTTCAAAACATTTTAAACCTACCAAAACAGAATTACTAGACCAATAAAATTGGCAATAATGCCTTAATATGTTTTAATAGACAGGCTTTGTTCCAGCGTAGAAAATTCTTTTTAGAATCCTTTCCATAAAAGTTTTTTTAAATCTGGAGTTGGGCTTATTATTCTTCAAGCCTGTGTTCTCCCTTGAACACATCTCTCATTTGCTATCTTTACATCTCTCTGCTTGTTTTATTGCTCGTGTTCTCTCTTGAACAGGCACTTCCTCTCTTTCTCCTCCTCTAACTCCCTCACTTCCTAAGTAAGTTTCATAAGTTTCAATTAAAACTATCTCCCTTCACTTCCCCTTACCCAAACAAAAAATTACATTAGATTTATATGTTTCTTGAATTTAAAAAAATCTGTAACATTTCTTCTTTTTTTTAAAAAAAAAGTAAGACCATTTATTTGTTGAAGAGAATGGGTTCTTGGTCCTGAAGATAGCTGGTATTTTAGATTTGGATGCTTATATTTTTATGGTTTTATTTAATCGTTTCCTCTAGTCTCAGGACTCTATATAAAATGGTATTTAAAACTAGAAGCTTAATTATATTGAGGTTCAATTTTTTGCAGGGATACTTTAAATGAGCTACAAGTGTTTGATGAATCATCTAGGCTTATTGGCTATGATATAGAAGAATTAAGTTCTTGACGTCCTAGTCATTGTTCAGAAATTAAGATTTCTTTTTTGATTGTTATAGGTTAATACTGAAAAATCATGCCAATTTTATACTAAAATAAAAGTTATACCAAACAAAAAATAGGTCATGACTTATGACTTATAATAGTTGGATTTTCCTGACTTATAATAGTTGGATTTTCCTCCAATTTTTAATATACATTTATTACAGATATCGAGGAAGATCGTTCTTCTCCCTCACCACCTCCACTCCCAGAAAGAACTCGCGAATCTTTCCTTCTGGCTGATGAAGACGGTTAGTGGAAATACTTTCTCTCAGTGAAATTACAGAAATGAGACTGTTAAAAGTTGAATATAAAGAACTTAGATAGAGGGGCGGGAGTGATAGCACAGCGGTAGGGCATTTGCCTTGCAAGTGGCAGACCAGGTTCAATTCCCAGCATCCCATATGGTCCCCCAAGCAATGCCAGGAGAAATTCCTGAGTGCATGAGCCAGGAGTAACCCCTGTGCATCGCTGGGTGTGACCCAAAAAACAAAAAACCAAGCAAACAAAAAGAACTTAGATAGAAAAGGAACACAGAGTGACTAAGTAAAAAGTGATACACTACAAAGTCCATACCATATTATAAAAGTAATGTTTTAAAAAAGACAACTAAAAATGATTGCATATATACCTATATATAAGCCAAAGACTTAAGAAACTATGCAACAAAACTTTCTTTTTTTTTTTTTTTCAGAAATGCAGGCTCAATCTATAGAGATTCATTCTACCAGCTGTCCTAACCACACAGAAAATTCAACATCTTCCAAACAGACATTGAAGACACCTGGAAAAAATTTCACAAGGAGTAGGGTAAAGAGTTTTAGAAAACTTGCCAGAGGCTTTCCTTTTCCCAGCTGCCTCAACCCCAGTTACCAGCTCTAAGATGGAAAACTGGACTAAATATCTCCATTAAAATTGATTGTTGATCTCAAATAAAAATAGAAGGGTGGCAGGGATGGAGTTCAATCTGGAAGACATTCTTTGTAGGCTGGAGCTCTGACTTCAACCTTTGTTTCTACTTGATCCCCAAACAAAATTAAATTAATAGAAAAAACCTGGGCCAGAGCAGTAGTATAGCAGGTAGAATGCTTGCCTTTCACACAGACTACCTGGGGGTTGATCTGCAGAACCCCACACAGTCTCCTGAACCCTCCAGGAGTGACTCCTGAGCACAGAGTCAGGAGTAAGCCCTGAGCTTTGCCAGGTGTGGCCCCAAAATAAATTAAAAAATGCAACTTAGTTTGAAGCATGGCTTCATAACTACTACCCCTACCCCAAAATCAGATAAAGTGACTCCAAAGTTTATATGCATGCAAAGAAGAGCAAGAATATTTACTAGGACTGGAAAGATAGTACAGGGAGTAAGGAACTTTCTTGATTTGCATGCTGCCCACCATCCTTTAGATTCCTGACACTGCAGATGGTCCTCAGAGCAAAGCCAAGAGTGATCCCTAATCACAGAGCCAGGAGTAGCTAAGCCCTGAGCATCATCCATGTGGCAAAAAACAAAATCACATGAACAAGCAAACAAACACAGAACAGGAGAGAGAATAGTCAATAACTGCAAAATACAAAATAGTAGTAAGGCAAGGTAGCCATATCAGATATTAAAACATTAAGGCTACAGTTGTATCAAAACGGCATGATTATTGGTATGTGAAGAGAAACATACCAATGAAGAAGGTCAAGCTCAGTAATAGATCCAAATAAAGTGTAAGTAGTGTATGATGGGCTGGAGCGATAGCACAGCAGGTAGGGTGTTTGCCTTGCACACACCGGACATGGCCAACCCAAGTTCGATTCTTTCATCCCTCTCGAAGAGCCTGGCAAGCTACTGAGAGTATCTCGCCCGCACAGCAAAGCCTGGCAAGCTACCCGTGACGTATTCAATATGCCAAACACAGTAACAAGTCTCACAATATTACTGGGTCCGCTCGAGCAAATCGATGAACAACGGGAGGACAGTGACAGTGGTATGATGATGAAGCAGCATTTCAAATCAAAGGATAAAAAAATGGGTTTCAATAATTGTTTGATCAACTGGACAAAAATGAAGGTAGAATCCACACTCAGATTTACACTGCTGTACTTTTGATGCTGGAAAGATTTAAGTACGTGAAAAAAAAAATAAGAGAAAAGGGTGTGGGGGGGAAGTGCTTAGAAAAAGACAAACCAGCAGGCCATAGAGGTGTCTGGTCAGAGGGGAAGATCTTGGTGAAGATTTTGAAGGGTAAACCTGTAGCTCTCAGAGTTGAAACCCAGTGACACCCCTGGATGTCAACACTAAACCCAAGACAAGCAGGACTTCTCTCCAGAACAGCGGCTGCTGCTTCCATCTGGCAAACCCCGGCCGACTGCCACACTAGCTTACACAGTGTCAAGAAAGTGTGCAGCCTGCATTTGAATAGTGTGTCTGTGGCTGGCACTGTGCAGCCAGCCCACTGCCAGCTTGCCCTGAACCACAACTGCGGAAGGTGGTGTGCCTCAAACTTTCTGGTTGCCTCACTCTTGCAACATCAACTGCCATAAGAAGAAACAGGGTAACACACCGATTCATTGAAGCCAAAAAGAAGGTTGAACTGGATAAAGCAGGCTCCCTCCACATCCTTGCCTGCAGACAGTCTTTTGCCAATGCTCCAAGGCCTTCATACCTCACTCTGAAAAGTTTTCCTTTTTTGTTTGTTGATGAAGCAGTCAACAAAATTTAGGAATGACTACCTTTCCTTTCCTTGACTATCGTACCTTTCCTTGACTACCTGGGAGTGAAAATGACTTTAAAACTCACAACCCAGAAGCTGGTAGACCAGAGATTTATAAATTTGACTAAACAAAATAGCACATTTCTTCATGACAATAAAAAAGCCATATTGAAAATCAAAAGACTAAAATGAAAAACCATATTGGGGAAAAAATATGTGCAACTCACATCATAACTCCTAGAAAGTTACAGAAAATAATAACTGAAAGAAAAATGGTCAAAAATACATGATCAGACAATTCAAAGTTAATGTCCTTTAAATATTTATATGTTCAACCTCTCATAATGATGGAAATATGAATTAAAGCCAGGGTGACATGCTATTGTACATCTGTTAAAATGGCAAATTTCAAAAGTATGATTACAACCTGATAGGGAAACTTTGGGGAAATAATTAGCACATTCCTGCCATTTTGGGGAGGGTTAACTAATATAACTTGCATAAAGGACAATTTAGCTATGCCTATCAAAATTACAAATGTGTATTTCCTTTGACACAATAACTCTACCTCTAGGAATTTATCCTATGCTATGAAATTATTTATAAAGATAAATTATTGGGATCATAAATATTGTTAGGGTAACTGATTAAAATAAATTCTAAGTCATGCATGCAATGGAATGTCACACTGTTTAATTAGAAAATATATAAACACATTAACATTTTAATGTGTTATATATTACTTATTAAATTTTTCTCAAAATGGATATTTTCTCTATATTTCTATGGATATACATTTATACTGTATAAGTAACTGTGGAAGGATATGTAGAAACTAATGACCAGGGAAGTATATCAAAACACAGGTTTTGCATATATGAGCACCAGGGTTCATTCTTGGGACCAAACTAAGAAACCAAGTAACAGTGATTATCTTCTAGGAGAAGTGTTAGAAACTGGGTAGATGGAGGACAAGAATGAGGATTTTTACTAGAATGTTTTGAATTAAAAATAAATGATCCAATATAAATATTAAAGAATAAATGATCCATTAGAAAAAATTTTAAATAGTTTATTAATGATGCCTCATATAAATTCCATTTGTATTAAGCTGGAGCGATAGCACAGCCGTAAGGCGTTTGCCTTACAAGCGGCCAACATGGCCGACCTGAGTTCGATTCCTCCACCCCTCTCGGAGAGCCCGGCAAGCTACCGAGAGTATCTCGCCTGCACGGCAGAGCCTGGAAAGCCACCCGTGACGTATTCGATATGCCAAACACAGTAACAACAAGTCTCATGATGGAGGCGTTACTGGGCCCACTCAAGCAAATCGATGAACAACGGGAAGACCGTGACCGTGACCGTTCGAAACATAGAATTTGATAAAGAATACCTACCAAACTTTGAAGGAGTCCTACAGTTAAATTAGAATGAATCTAATGAACTAGAATGTGTCTTTATGAGAAACAAAATGGAAATCATCAAGAAGAGTATTGCAGGGGCCTGAAGGAATAGCTCAGTGGCTTAGCATGCGTGCCTTCATGCATTTCTCAGTTCAGTCTCCTATGTTCCATATGAGACTATTTCAGTCCTAGCAGTCCTGCTGGGTAGTTCTGCTGTCTTTGATCTCCCATGCAGCAAGTGATTTCATGCCAGACCACAAACCAGAAGTGCAATTCTTGATGGATGTATGTGAGCACAGCAACAAACCTAGCAAGCAATAAAACCAGGACATATATGTCACTAGAGTGCAAGCCCCAGGAAGCATGTGCAAGCTCAGCAACAAAAGGAGTGCAGACCTGCGAGCATGAGGAGTGTGCAAGCACCACGATCTCAGGTCCGATCCCTGGAGGGCACCTGGGCTCAGCTTGTGTTCATCACCTCTGGTCATCACAAGGAAGAGAAGAAGAATGGGTAAAGAACAAGAAAAGAAAAAATGCAGTATCACGGAGGAGATGAAAAACATCCGTGCTGTGGAAATGAGTTACCCGAAGACATCTGGATTAGCTCCTGGAATTAATTCATTGGAGACTCTGTTGGAAAGAAGGTAGAGAACAGGGATCTGCTGAAAAAAGGAAAAAGGAAGTACCAGGGCTAATAGCAGGGCATAGACCTTTCTGCTTTCAGATCTAAATGTGATTGGCAAAAAGTATTGGTAATAATGGGAATGACTGTGTTAGAGCTGACAGAATGAAGTTAGTGGCATTGGGAGTTCTGGAATGGACCGACTAAAAAGAACTTCCTCATTTCCTCTAACATTCTTATAGCATTGTTTCTAAACATATATTTTTATTTTTACATGGCAGGGTAAATCTCAAGATAAATATTAAGCGGAAATTTTGTACTGAATTAAAAATGGCAAGATAGAAAAGTGTTTATTTCTATGGCTTGTCTATTTATCTATTTATTTATTTATTTGGCTTTTAGGCCATTCCCAGCAGAGCTCAGGGTTTACTTCTGGTTCTGAACTCAGGGATCACTCCTAGTGGGATCTGGGGACCATGTGTGGTGCTAGGGATCAACCCAGGTTGGTTGTGTGCAAGGCATATGCCCTGCCTGCTCCATGTACTTTATGGCTATTTTAAAGGAAATTAGTCCTTTAAATCAAAGTCTATATTTTCACTTAGTTATCTTGGATTTCAAAGGAAAACTAACATTTTTTTCCATTTTTGTAGAGCTTGAAAATTTTGCGAAATATGAAAAAGAGTAAGTTTAAAACAATTTTTTTTGAAATTTATATGCTACTTTCACAATTATGTAATTTAGCCTTACATAATCACTCTCTGGAAAAATTGAACAATCTTCTTTCTAAACAGAGCTTCCTGAGGGCTCTGTGGATTTGGGTAATCACCCCAAAGATCTGTACTTTTCTGAGCTTCACAATGCCAATATCAGATAGGGGAGTGTGGGGAGGATGATTTGTGGGGAGGAAGAACAATATCTGATCCTCAAACACTGATTATGAAACTCTAGACTTGGGTCTGTATTTGCATGTATGTCCTTTTCATTTTACAGATGGTTCATAACTCCCAAATTCTATATATTCTCCCTTTACAGGTTTATAGTTTAAGTTGGTCCTGGGGTTGGAGAAAGAGTACATGGGTTAAGGCATTTACATTGCATCTCACCAACTCTATCAGAATCCTGGCATGACGTATGGTTCTCCAAGCACTGCCAGGTGTCACCCCAGAGTCAGGAATAGCTCCTGAGTATGCCAGTTGTGGCCCAACACTCTAGTTCCTCAGCATAAAAAAAAAAAAAAAACCTGGTCCTACCTTTAATGGAATTATAAGTCTTCGTTTGTTGTTTTTAGCTAGCATTTAAGCCTGCTGTCATTCACACATTCATTCATTTATACACTAGCTATCTGTTGAATGACTACTATGTATCAGGCATTCTGCAAGACAATGGGCATAAGACAGTAAATGGATACTAGCTTCTATTTTTGTGGAACATATCTAGTGAAAGATTCAGACAGTGCTAGGGCTGGAGCAATAGTACAGCGGGTAGGGCACTTGCCTTGCATGTAGTAGACCCAGGTTGGATCCCCGGCAGCCCAGATGGTCCCCCTAGTCATGCCAGGAGTGGTCCTTGATCAGGATCCTTGATCAGGAGTAAGCCCTGAGCACCACTGGGTGTGGCCCAAAACCAAAAATAAAACAAAAAAATTCAGACAATAAACAAGTAAATTGACATCTGCGTACAAGTGATCAATGCTGTGCAGAAAATTACGAGGGCATACAAGAGAGAATAACCGGAGAACCTGTTTTCTTTTTTGCAGAGAGGACTCCCCTAGCAGTCTCCAGGGAGTCCTGGGGCCACTTTCGATGGAGTGGGGAGTTCAATGTCAGGGTCTGGAGATGTGGTGCTGCTCAGGCCTCAGTGGCGCCGGAGGTCATTAAAACCACCAAGGTCACTCTGTTGCTGGGGGACCATTTGATACTGGGTGCAGACCCTGAGACTTTGCACATTTAAGACAAAGGTCCTTGACCCATGAACCATCTTCCTGTCCATTTTACTTTATTGAAATTGGAGAGGGAATGTTGGGCCACATCCCACAGTGCTCAAGGGGATATTCCTGGCTCTGTGCTGAGGAGTGACCTCCAACAGGGCTCCAGGGATCAGATTTAGAGCCAGGGATTGAGCCAAAGATTGAACCAGGGTTTGCTGACTGGCCACATGCAAGTGCCTGCCCTATCTCTCTTCCTTCTTCCTGCAACCACATTCCCTGCACTCTTTTAAAGTGAGTGATTTCAGAGGACGTCCTCTCACAGAAAATGAAAATCCCGAGACTTGTAGCAGGAGCAATCAGATGAATAGCATGGTATCCAATTAGAGGGAACAGTATATACTCAAGCACTTGGGTGTAAGTTTGCTTATTGTGAGAACACAAGGAAGTCATCACAGTTGCCAGGGATTATTAAGAGGAAAGTGAGAAAAGTGTGACTGAAAATATGGTGGAAGTGGGCAGGAATTGGATAGAGCTTGTGTTAAGTAGTTTAGAGTTAACTCTATGTGCTACCACTGTGAAGTAACAGAAGAGTTTTAGGCACAGATGTTACATGATCTGTTTTTTTCAAAAGATCATCTGGTTGCCTTAAGGAGAATGAATTATAGGGTGACAAGAATTGAAGCTATCAGTATATGGTATATGATTTTTGCTGTTGCTGGGAAAATTTACTTGCTTAGAAATTCTTCAGTTGCATGTGACAGAAAACCCAACTTCAGCTGGCTTAAACAGCAATGGAAGATTAATTTGCCAAAAATTTTAGTGATACAATTGGAACCAAATTTCCTAGTTTTTAACTCCTAGCTTTGTCATACTTTGCATTGTTTTGCTTATATGCAAGCTTATTTGTCATGTACTTTCGGGCTTACAATGGGAAGAACAAATAATTGGTTGCTCAAGAAACAGATTGATCACTAGCGAGAATTGGGACAGAATGTCTTGCCTTAGTTCATTTATTCATCCCTGAGGCAGTCAGTTTTTTTTTTTTTTTTTTTTTAGTGAAACACCATGAGGTACAGTTGTAGACTTACAATTTTTTGTGCTTGGGTTTCAGTAATATGATTGAGTACCCATTCCTCCACCAGTGCCCATTCTCCACCTCCAGTGCTCCCAGTATCCCTCCCACCCCACCCCCCCAGGCCCCCATCCCACCCCACCCCTGTGGCAGGGCATTCCCTTTTGTTTTCTCTCTCCTTTTGGGTGCTGTGGTTTGCAAAAGAGGCATTGAGTGGCAATCATGTTCAGTCTATAGTCTACTTTCAACATGTATCTCTCATCCTGGGAGGATCCTCCTAATACCCTTCTTTTGGTATTCCCTTCTCTATCTGAGTGAGGCATTCAGTTTTGATTAAACATTTGTTCACTTGCTTTTGGGCTACACCTGGCAAGGCTTAATGCTGCTTTTGGAGGTTCCCCCACACAATGACATGATGTCAGAGATTGAGTTGGTGCCTGGAATCAAACTGAGGTTCCTACAGGCAAGCATATAATCTCCAATTATATGTTCCAGGCCATTGAGTTATCTCCTGAGACATATTTTTATTGATCAATAAAGAATGAGATCAGAGTTAAACTGGTTTGACCATGATAATTTACTAATTGAAAATCAGCCTTGTTATTCATAAGACTTGATTGATCTAAGGGTTCACATATTTACTAAATTCAAGATTAGAATCAGCTCTACCAAAGTATGGAAAAATTGGGGAAAGGTAGTTTCCTAAAAAAAAATCAAGAAGTTAACTAAAATTTGCTTCTTCTCACTATTATGAGAAGCATAAATTTTTGACAAGTCAATATGTAAAACAACAGTTCTCTATAGTACATATTTGAACAGTCTTTGTCTCCTGCTGTGAAAAAAACTATTCTCTGTTGGGACAATTCTTTAAATGAAGTGTAAAGCTGTATAAAGATAATTAATATTTCCTGAAATTTCTCAGTTCACCCATTTTTTTCACCCATTTCTTGTTTTCTGTCCTCAGTGCCTGGCACATTATAGGTATTAATTTTTAATTATTTTTGGGCCACACCTGGTGGTGCTCAGGGTTTATTCCTGGATCTGTACTCAGGGATCACTCCTGGAAGGCTCAGAGGACCATATGGTGTGCCAGGGATAAAATCTGGGTCTGCCACCAGCAAGGCCTTACTCACTGTACTACCTCTCTAGCCTCCAGGTATCATATTTTTTTGAGGAAGCATCACAGAGATACTCAGGACCCTGGGGGTCACTGCCACTGATACTCAGTCAGCTGTGCTTCCCAGATGATTCAATGCTCCGACTCTGCCATGGATGCTCAGGTTCAATAGTGCTGAGGACCATGTGGTGCTGGGATCGAATTTGGGACCTCGTGTGCAGGGCATGCTCTCCACTCCTGTGGGTTAGCTTCCAAGAAATACATATGTAAAGGAACCTGACTGAAACTCAACTGTGTTCGTGAGAGGGGAAGGGGGCTTTAGAATCCTAGGTTTAAGCATGTGTGAATAAACATATAAGCAGGCTTCCAACACATTCTGAAAATGTTACAACAGACACAAAAAGTAGAAACTTAAAAATTTCTCTCCAATTATATGCTGTTTCTTAGCAAAGTTTATGAAAACCTGAAATTATCTTTTTTTTTCTTTCACTGCTAGACAGTGTACACAAAAATATGGAGGAGGTTTTCCCTGGATTGTTTACAGACCCGAGCAGAACAGACACAAAATGTGTTAAAGTTCTAGGAAGAGAAATATATTTCAAATCTACCTATATGTTATTAAAATAGCAAAACACGGGGGTATGGTGTCACCAGCAGGTCAATCTGTACCTGTGAGGTGAGTGCATCAGCAGCCTGATGGCGCCTTCAGGCTTCCAGATAACCCAAAATTGCTGCTGTGCCTTTGGCCAGAACCCAAAAACATGGGGCAAAATTTACCAAGAAAGTAAATGGCCAAAAGTTAGGCATGTGGGAGACACACCCACAAACCACCTCTGGCTCAGCTATATAATTGGAGGCATGGCCTCTCTGGTTCCTGATTGAACTGCTTAACCGCCATGATCCCAGAGACTCAGAAACAAATCTCGAAATCCAGCGGCTTTTGGCAGAAATGCGTCCGGTCCCTGTAGTAGGTTACCAGCACCAGGCCTCCTCAGGTGGGAATAGGTTTCGTGCCTTTGCCTGTTCCCCCTGGCAGCCAGTGGCCATCATCCTCCAGAGGCCACTGGACAGTCAGGTTTGGGCCTGCAGTGACAAGACATGTGGGGCCTCATGGGATGGGGGTAGAGCTGGCCCTTTCCTCCCTGTCCCAATGAGACCCCAAGTCGCCACCCATGAATGGCCTCTCTGGTTCCTGATCAAGCTGCTTAATGGCCATGATCCCAGAGACTCAGAAACAAATCTCGGGATCCAGTGGCTTTTGGCAGAAATGTGTCCGGTCCTTGCAGTAGGTTATTGGTGCTGGGCCACCCCAGGTGGGAATAGGTTTTGTGCCTTGGCCTGTTCCCCCTGGTGGCCTTGTGGTCACCATCCTCCAGAGGCCACTGGACAGTCAGGTTTGGGCCCGCAGTGACGAGACACAGAGACTCAGAAACATATCTCAAAACCCAGCGGCTTTTGGTAGAAATGCATCTGGATAGCGCAGTAGGTTACTGTCACCAGGTCACCCCAGGGGGAAAGGGTGCTGTCCCTCTGCCTGATCCCCCTTAGCAACTCAGTGGCATGCCATCCGCCAGAGGCCACTGAACAGTCAGGTTTGGGCCTACAGTGACGAGACACTTAGGGCCTCACGGGATGGGGGTGGAGCCAGCCCTTTTCTCCTCCTCCCAACGAGACCCCGAGTCGCCACCCACCAACAGCTCTCTGGCTCCTGATCAAGCTGCTTAACAGCCATGATCCCAGAGACTCAGGAACAAATCTCAGAACCCAGCAGATTTTGGCAGAAATACCTCCAGATTGAATCGTTAAAATTTTGGAATTTCAGTATCACGCGGCCACTATTGCAGCTGTGCAACCTCATATGTTATTTATAACCAGCAATAGAAAACAAATTGTCTACTATTGCCTTTTCGGCAGATCTGAGTGTTGGGGTAAAATCCCAAATTTAATAATGGTGGGTCTGGTGTCAAAATATTGAATATAATCAAAGTACAGAGAGAGTAAATGTGGAAATCATCTGCCCCACAGGTAGGGGGAGGGTATAGGTTGGGGGTATACTGGGGTTCTTGGTGGTGGAGAATGGGCACTGGTGAAGATATGGGTTTTTTATTGTATGACTGAGATTTAAATCCAAAAGCTTTGTAACTGCTCTCATGGTGATTCAATAAATAAAATTACAAAAAATGAAAAAAAGAATAGCAAAACAAAGCAGCATAATAATGCTTTGGGGAGAATCTGAGCTGACCAGTGTCATCTATGATGGGAAAGGGAAGAAAGCTATTCCAGGAATAGAGGGTAGTATTATCTATCCTCTAAGGATGAACTAATGTGGAGAATAAAGTGATTATAAAATATATGAAAAATGGTCAGAGAGCAAAGTCAGATAAAGTCCAAAGCCCAAATGTGCATCCCCCTAAAGTTGATTCACAATGTAATGGATTTTATTCTGAATCATTTGGTGATTCTCTTTAGTGATGTTTTTTAACTGGACAACCTGTTTGTATAAAAGAATAACTCTTTAAAAAAATATTCACACCGTGAGAAGATTAGTTTTAACCTATTTCATCTGTATTTTGTTACATTTTATTGTGTTCTATTTATCTGGGGGTATTAATATCTTAGGGGGAAGTGTTTAACCTCGATAATTATGTGGTTTGATAAAGAGTAATGTGTTTGCCTTCATTCTCCCACTCACATTTTTTTTTTGTTTGTTTCCAGCTCTCTGTAATTCTTCCCCACAGAACAAGCCTGCAGACTCTGTTCAGTCAAATAACTCCATCTCTTTTCTGAATTTTGGTATGTGTACTACTTCCCAGAAGAACTAAATATATTAATCTAAATGTAGAATAAGAATATAACGTTAAATGTTATTTAAGGTTACATGCATAGGACCTTGGGCTGGAGCGATAGCACAGCGGTAGGGCGTTTGTCTTGCACGCAGCCAACATGGTGAACCCGATTTCGATACCTCCGCCCCTCTCTGAGAGCCCGGCAAGCTACAGAGAGTATCTTGCCCACACGGCAAAGCCTGGCAAGCTAACCGTGACATATTTGATATGCCAAACACAGTAACAACAAGTCTCACGATGGAGACGTTACTGGGCCCGCTTGAGCAAATTGATGAACAACAGGAGGACTGTGACCATGACATGCATAGGACCTTATATTTGAGGTACATTCATATTTCTATTCTTTTCTATGAATTTTATCTTTTTCTATTTGACCTAAGTTACCTATCTTAATTAGGAATGAATTGCCTAGAATATGCAGAAAATAAAACTTGCTAGCCAAATTATTATATTGACATCACGGTCACGGTCTTCCTGTTGTTCATCGATTTACTTGAGCGGGCCCAGTAACGTCTCCATCATGAGACTTGTTGTTACTGTGTTTGGCATATCAAATATGTCAGGGGTAGCTTGCCAGGCTTTGCCCTGCAGGCGAGATACTCTCGGTAGCTTGCCGGGCTCTCCGAGAGGGGCGGAGGAATCGAACTTGGGTTGGCCATGTTGGCCGTTTGTAAGGCAAATGCCTTACGGCTGTGCTATCGCTCCAGACCATTATATTGGCATGTAGTAAAGAAATGTGACTCACCAAATTAGGAAGTTCTGAGATACTGTGATGCTAGACACTAGACCCTCTGCGGGAGCCTCGCCCCACGCCTTGGTAGTCTGTCGGGTGTCGGTGGGGAAGGACCGCAGTCACGGCCTGGGCAGTGCTTGGCCCTGTTGCCCCTGCTGGTCAGCCTGGGACCGTTTGCCCTTTAAGAGAGGTGTTTGGTCACAGATGTTTACTTCAGTTTTTGTCACTGAAGAAAAAAAAATTAGTAACACTGTAGATGTGAAGACTTAGAATACAGAACACAAAAACATGGCCTCCTGCGCTGCATTCCTGCTGTGTCCCACCAGGGCCGCAGCCCCTGTGAGCCCCCCTCACTGCCCCCACCCAGTGGCCGCTTCCCAGTGGCCGTTGAGCTGACCTGTGGAGCGTGGGGAGCCCCCTGGATGGGCAAGGGCCAAGGTTACAAGAGGGCCTCCCACCGGGCCCACTAGCAGCGCCCCAGGCTGCCTGTGAGCCCCGCTCCACGGGGGGCAGGGGCCTCCAAACCAGCTCAGGCCCGGGGGTTATGGGGGACCTGCTCCTTGTGTACCAACCACCACCCTGTGTTTGTAAATACTTTGTCATCCTTTGGCCCTCCGAAGTTTCTTAAATGTGTTATTTACTTCTCTCGAGCGGGCCCAGTAACGTCTCCATTGGAGACTTTGTTGTTACTGTGTCTGGCATATCGAATACTCTCGGTAGCTTGCCGGGTTACTTCTCTAATCATGACAATTATTTATAAAATAATACTAAACATATTATTTGTGGGTTTTTGCTTTGTTTTGCTTTTTTGGGGCCACTCCTGGCAGTGCTCAATGCTTACTCCTGGCTGGGCTGAAGGGGACCATTTGGGGTGCGAGGGATTGAACCTGAGCTGACCGTGTTTAAGCCAATCACCTTATAGCACTTTATTTGCTGTATTATCTCTCTGTTCGTCCTCCTACTACATGTATTATTAACAGAAAAGTAGACCTTACCAGAAAATCCTGGAGACTCTGGGTCCCTGGATCTCATCTTGAGAACTACTACTCTATGGTGTTGTCCTTCTCTATAAGGTCAAAATTGGATTATTGTAACATCCATATGGCAGGTGCCAAAGATGAGAAAGAAATGTGAAAGAGGCATGCCGTCTTTTGCTGACCTTAAGATATTGGTCTAGAAGAGGCAACATTTTCTCATCTCACAGTCCCTTGAAGATAATTCAGATATGTGCTGTACCTAAACTGCAATAGAGCTGGGAAGTGTAGTAACATACAGGTACTTCTGTAGAAATATTTTCTCATTGAAGCAGCAGCAAGGAAAGATTTTGATCAAACAGTAATATTCTTTGTCACTTAAGATCTGGCTTTTTATCTCACCTTGATCCAGCAAAATCAATACCATTTTATTGGGATGGCAGTCACTGGACTTTACAATGTTACGATTTGTAAAAGCTTATTATTCTGGGCTGGAGAGATAGTGTTTGTGGCCTACCCAGGTTTGATGCTAGCCACCAAATGGTTCCCTAAGCATCACTGTGTGTGGCTCTGGAGGCCTCTAAGCACTGCCAGATGGCCATGATATCCTTGGCATTGTCTGAGCACAATGTATGCTTGGTTTCCTGGTATTGAGCAACCGGTTCAGTTGGCTGAGAATTGCCTGGAATGGCCAAGGGCCTCCTAGGCACCACTGAGGAGTCCTTACCCTCAAGGTATTTTTGTTTTATTTTGTTTTTGGACCACTCCTGGTGGTATTCAAGATTATTCAGATTCTGTGCTCAGGAGTCTCTATGTGGTGCTGGGGATTGAACCGGGGTCAGTTGTACAAGGCAGGCTTTATTCCTTGGTACTACTTCTCTGCCTAAAAGTTATTCAAAAAAGAATGTTTTGTTTTGAGGGCATAAAGGATACCTATGCTTTTTGAAATTGTACATTATGCATTGCCCTGGGGCTGGAGCGATAGCACAGCAGGTAGGGTGGTTGCCTTGCACATGGCCGACCCGGGTTTGATTCCTCTGTCCCTCTCGGGGAGCCCGGCAAGCTACTGAGAGTATCCTGCCCACACGGCAGAGCCTGGCAAGCTCCCCGTGGCGTATTCAATATGCCAAATATAGTAATAACAAGTCACACAATGGAGATGTTACTGGTGCCTGCTCGAGCAAATCGATGAACAATGGGAGGACAGTGCTACAGTGCAGTGCTACCGAGTGATGATCAGGTCTTACTCCTGGCTTTGTGCTAAGGGATCACTCCTGGTGGTGCATGGGGACCATATGCAGTACTTGGAATCAAGCTGGGGCAGACAGTATGCAAGCATTTTTCTGCTGTATTCTTTCTCTGGTACCTCTCTTATTCTTTGGCCTTCTGTTTATTGTTGATGCTTTGTGATGGCTGTAGGCTGTATTGTTTGGTTTTGGAGCACCAATGTTGCATGCTTTGTTGTGGTCCTGGGGATTGTGCTTAGTGCACTTGGGAGGGTGACCAGAATTGAACCTGTGGCCTTGCATTGCAAAGCAGGAACTTTTTAGCTATTGATACTCCTTTCTATTTTTCAATTGAGAAATAATTGATACACATTAGTTTCAGGTATACATGATTTGCAATTTGTGTATATTGATAAACGGTCATCTACTTAGGTATAGTTTTTGTAACTTTGTTCATAGTTACAAAACAATTTTTTTTGTGATGAGATTTTGGTGGGGCAAAAGCAACGGTTTGGTTGATACCCAGCAATACTTAGCACTTACTACTGGCTCTGTGCTCAAGAATCACTCCTAGCGGGCTGGGGATGCCAGATATCAAATCCTAGTTGGCTGCAAGCAAGGCAAGCCCACTGCCTATTATACTAGCCCACTCACTCAACCTTCTCCTATGGTAACCATGAATCTATTTTCTGTATCTATGAACTTGGTTTGGGGGTTTTTAGAATTACATAAATGTGATCACGCAACATTTTTCCTTCACTTGTCATAACATCCCCAAGATTCACTCATATTGCCACAATAGAGGATTTTCTTTCTTTTTTTATGGTAGCATAGTTGACTTTGTGTGTGTGTGTGTGTGTGGGTGTGTGTGATGTCTTGATCTCTTCATCCATTGTTTCCATATCTTGGACATTGTAAAGAAAGCTGCAAAGAACAGAGAGGTCCATATTCTTCAAGTTAGTGTTTTTCACTTTCTTTAGCTACTCAGAAGTGGAACTGCTGGACTATATGGTAACTCTAATGGAAAAAACTATTTTTTTGGCTATATCTGTCAGTACTCAGGGGCTGTTCCTGGCTCTGCTCAGTGGCTATACTTCAAGGTGCTGAGGGTCCATCTGCATTGCTAGGATTAAAACCATGGATGTGGCTGTGAGCTATGCAAGCTCCTTCTGTTTAAAAAAAATAATAAAATCAGCTTTGTAAGGGTCTATCTCACAGTGACTCAATAAAAGAAAATATTAAAAATAAAAAAAAATTATAGCACTGTAGCACTGTCCTCCTGTTGTTCATTGATTTACGCAAGCGGGCCCAGTAACATCTCTATTGTGAGACTTGCTTGCCGGACTCTCCAAGAGGGGCAGAGGAATCAAACTCAGGTCTGCCTTGCTGGCCGCGTGCAAGGCAAACACCCTACCTACTGTGCTATTGCTCCTCAAATAAATCTATTTCACTCACCCAGAGTAAGCATTAACACAACCCCAAAAAATCCAAACAAAACTTTCTATTTTCTCTCACATACACTAGATCAACATTACTCACCTGGGGTCCATGTGCCCCACACTTGTGGACCTCAGGATATTCTTAGAGGGACACAGGTCAAAATCTGGTAGATAGTGGGGAGGGCCACAGTGTGAAACAAAGTGCCAAATTGATAGGTGATGGGGGTCATAGGAAGTGAGGTCGGAAGGGACCCATGGTTGGCAAAAGGTTGAGGAACATCACACTAAATGACTCAGATCCCAAACTTAGATCATTTTCCCCTTCCCTCGTATCTCATTACCAGATGTTGTATCAATTTTAATTATAAAATTGCACATTAAATTTATCTCCATCTAAATTGCCTCACATTAGTACAGGTCTCTGAGTCACATTCTTTCCCCTTTCGCTCATCAATCTATTCTTCATGGATCCATTAGTAAGAATGAGTTTCTCATTAAAACTTTACAACTATTTTGGGTTCTATTTTGGAAAAGCACCAACTGCATTTTAAGTTCTGGACAGTACTGCTTACTCT